AGGGCACTTTGTGTTGTTTAGGAAGCAGCATGTGCTGGAATAGGAATATAGGATACTCTTTTTAACCTTATCTTTACAATGTCGACAACAATGATCAGACGTTGGACTTCTTTTTTTTTCCTCGAATAAACTAAAACTAAATTTCGCTCAAATTGATGCCTTACATATAGAATTTACGCACACCTATCCTCGTTAACGTCCTAGTTTTCTATGCCATCCACGTTTCGATGAAGCAAACTTTGGTTCTATGAAGGAGAACAATACATTCTTCCACCATGCAACTCAGCAAAGCTTGAGAAATGGAAGTTCGATTTCTGTGTTCATAGAGGAAATGATCCAAAAAAAAGTTACAATGGAATGAAAAAAAGAAAAGGTCGACGTTCTATATACTTCGAATGTGGTCTTAGTCGCAAAGAAATAAAAGTAACTTCTTCATCTGATCATCTTTTCTTCTCATCATTTTATGTCGTTACTTTTCGTGATTATGACTCATCAACTAACTGGAGTTAAATAATTATCCCTTACTTTCTCTGTCCCGAAATTATTGTCCAGTTTGGATATTCACTTTTTAGTTTAATTTGTACCGAAAATAAAAATATAAACTGGGCAATAATTTCAGGACAGAGGGAGTACATTTTTTCTCAATGTTTTGCCCTATTACATAAAGTCAAATTTTGTAGCCTGGTTTTATGATTTTGTTTTGATATTTATTCAATAGTCAATTTACACTTTCATCAATCTTGTGTAGGTCGAAGAGAGTGCTAGTGTTTTTCATATCAAGGTCTAACACTAGCTTATCGACAACAAAAATCGCTTTTGTTGGACTAATGATAATATCCAACTTGTTTAGAGTGTGCTAAGTTTTCCAATATGTCACACATGACTAACAAGATCTCTAGAAGACATGTGTGTGTATTTCTTTCAGAGAGATGGTAGACAAAAAGAAGAAATAATCTAAGTGGGAAATAATAAGAAGGAAAGAAATACTTTTGACAATTGATGTGAAGGGGAGGGGAGGCACGCTTTGTTTTTTGTCAAAATGTTGTTTCATTGGTGTCCAACGTTAATTTCGGTTTTCTGGAAGGGTTTCCAAGTTTGGTAAGAATGACGAGATTGATGTTAATGGTACAATTGTGGTAAGCATTATTTTGATGAGGTTTCCAAGTGGCCACGGCAAATGCTTGTTGAGTTGTGATCATTTCCGACCATCCGTAGCCCTCAAAATAAATCGGTCCCAAAGTTAGGTACGTATCATCTCCTCCGTTATATTGGTCTGGTCCACTTTTGCATGCAGCAATTCCACCCCTATCAGTTTATATCAAACCTTTTGACTCCCTAGTTACAATTTTTGTATGTATTTTTTGAAAGAGGTAAATTTTTTTTCTTTTTTCCCCTTGGAGAACAAAATTTGTTCACGACCATAGGCATATCCTATTGGAGCATATAGTTTTGGAAATAACGTCTGGCAATGTTTCATCAAGAACAAATATGTAACCTTATAAAAATGACCAAAAGAAATACTGAAAATTTTGAAGTTTAAATATTGAACCGAAATCAACAAAAATAAATAAAATTTGGCATTTACTCTTTTTTTTCTTTTTTTTAAGAGGTTAGCTAGATCATTCAAATTAACTAATAACAATAGTTAAAGCTTGTTAATTGATCAAAATACTCACAAATACAAATACAATTACTCATTGATTTTGATACTTGGAATTATAATTGAGTAAGTTATTAGGAAGTGTAAATTTAGGAGGAAACGATAAGTGGTTGGAAAACTGGAAAGCTCCCGTGTAGTTGAAAAACATAAGCATATTACTTTCGAACATGTTTTTGTTTTGTACTTTTAAATCTAGCTAATTGCAGGCAAGCTTGAAAAGGGAAAGGAAAAGAAACGAAAGGACTTATCGCTGAAAACCATGAGATTATCTATCAAAGTTCCCATCACCTTTCCTTTTTCAGGAATGACATTTCCTAATCGGTTTCTGAAGGTTTATCGGTTTTAGAACAATTTTGAAGATATTTTCAAGAGACAAACATAATCACGACTTTCTAATTCAGGAAAGAGGACCATGGCCTTGTTTTTTGTTTGTCCATAACTCCAAAAAAAATTTTTTTTTTTTTTTTGCCAAATAAATATTTCATTCAAATTACTTAAACAGAGTTCTGATTACAAAGGTTCTGCACCAGCTCATATGCTAGTTGGTGTGCATTTTTAACTATATCTCTAGGCATTTTAACTACAATACAGACCTTTTCAAAAAAAACTACAATACAGAAAGACATATAGGTAGCAAGCTCTAGGATATCATCCTTGAGACCACTATACCATGTCGGAATTGATATTTCACCCCGTAACATCTGTACAGCCTGGCTATAGTCTGTATGAATACGAACATTAGTCCATCCATACCGTTGACATGTTTGCCTTGCCCATTTGATAGCACATAACTCCGCTTGTGTAGCATCAAGACTGCAACATTCCTTGGCAGATATGTGCATCACTGTTCCTTCTCTATCCCTTGTCACAATTGCCATTGCCGCTTTTCCTTTTTGTTTTACAAAAGAACCATCCACTTCGATAGTTACCATTCTATCCTCCCTTCCACATGTTTGATCCCCTATCAGACATAAACTCTTTTGATCTTCTCTCCTCCAGCCCGCAGTCTGTCGTCCCTTACTCGACAAATCATCTGGTCTCTACTAGTAACTTTTTCAAACGTAGCCATAAGGATCTTTGCTTTCCCAAGAGTTCGCGCTTCATTCCATATTTCATTCCTCCAAACCTCCTGGTTCTTAGCGACCTAAATTACCTACAAGATATAACACGATAACACCTTGTCTTGCTTCAATGGGGCCATTTTCAACCACTCCTTAAACCACCGCTTAATCTTAATTGGTTGCCCTCTTGAGAAATCAAAACCAAGTGGAGATACTCTAATCAAAACCAAGTGGAGATAGTCTCCAAAACTCCAAATGATTGTGATGAAAGACTTAAAAAAGGAATCTTCAATTCAAGCTTAGATGTGGCTTCCTGACAATAACAGACTTCCATACGTACAACCCCTCCTTAAGGATAGAGTTAATGAAGTTGACAATTGCCTGATTTTTTTCTAGCTTTTGCACATGGCTTCTTGTTTTTTTTTTTTTTTTTTTCATTTCCGTTTAATCTACAAAACTTCAATCTTAAACGCTTTCTAATTCTGGAATGTGTAACATTACACACATATAATCTCTACACGTTTAGCCTTTACTGCTATTAACTACGTGAAATTTACGGTAGTTACGGATAACTTTTCCAGATTAATTTATTTCATTGTGTTAAATATTCACTGTTCAATGAAGATAAGTTGCATGATAACTTGAAGACGGCAAATTACGACTTTATAGGCTCGTACCTTTGTATCCTTGAGTTCTATATAAGGACGGCAAATTTGCCTTTGCCGACACACACTTAGGTAGGCATACAAACACGTTACAACATATATTTGTCTCAAAGAAAAGAATACGCTGTTCTTGCCATATAAGGAAATTTTCTAAACTCTGGAATTTTCTGCAAACCTATATTATTCAATGAGTGAAAGATGGAAAGACACAGCTAAGTGGTACGGAACAAATGACATTATGGGCAACTTAATTCATGAAAACATGTAAAACACGGGGGACCCAGAATACTTGCAGGTCGTATTTCCATTCTGGAAAGGTAAAACTCACGAAGTTTGCTGATGTTAATTATATTGAAAAATTTGACAAGTAGTGGTAAAAAGTTCTTTAATTAGGTCACCTAAGTTACACAGTACAGTAGAGAACCAGCACAATTAGAAACCATATCACTATTCCAATGCCATGATAAAGAAGGAAATATATGGATGCATTAAATTCCTAAGCATAGTAAGAAAGCCAACTTCTCATGATTTCCCAGCTTTTTTACAATTTCACCAAGGATAGAAATGGCCCGGATGGGCTAAAGGGGGGTGTTTAATGCACTTCTTACCAGGACATGAACACCTCCATTTCCTGCCTCAAATTTCAATCTTTGTTAATTTGTTTACCTTCGGACAGGGAAGGATGTTTTCACATCCATGCATCTTACTGTCCCAATCCTCCATTAGGAAACTGTATGTGTGATCCGAAATACTGGTATGTTTGCCAATAAGGGAGAAATTCGCATTTAACAGCCGGATTAAAAAATAGAACTCAAGCTAGTTGCAGAATTGGGACAGCCATCGGGTGTTCAGATAGCAAAACCACCTTGGTTAGCACTTCCAATCTCATTTCCTCTTTCAGCCAGGTGTTTGAAAATTTCAGGCTGTGTTCATAATATACATTGTCTTCGCTCAGATTGCAAAGCATTATCTATCCAAGAATATGCACGACATGGGCCTACAAGTGACAGTAAATACTATCAGCAGCTGTAATGAGTCCAGCTTGTTAATGGACCTTATCCAGCATCGAAATGTATTGAAAATACTAAAATGCTAGAATTGAAACCTACAAATTTCCCAGTTAACGGTATTATCATTCCTTGGCCCAAAAAATTTCATATGTTTGATTCACTTTTTAAGAGGAAAAGTAACAGCAACGATCTTCTAAGTATACCTCCTCTGTTGGATTACAATGATGTCCAGGAGAAGTAAAAGCAGTGTTACAAACACGAAGACATGCAACAGATAGAAAGAAAAACTTGCTGACAATGTATGATAGCAAGAGCTACTTTAGGCATATCATGTGTAGCAGTCAATAAAATCTTCTTTAAGATTCCTGGATGCTAATTTGGGATACTATCCAGAAAATCATGACTCCACACATTAGACTTGTCATTTACACATGAACAATTCATTGTTCAAGATATACCCAGAGCCAATTAGCTAGATCCCCCAAATTTTTTATGAATGAACATACGAATCTTCCAATATGAAAACTTACTCCAAATCATCCAAGATACTGCAAATCTGTGTGCAGTAGGTTCCAAAATGGCAGATTACCTTGAATAGAGAGACTCATATACACAGTGCACCCAGATCAAGCTGTTGTCCTCCAGCAGGTTGATCATGATTTGTAGCTTTTGACGCTTTCTTGCGTTGTTTCTTGTCTTTTTTATCTGCATCCTCAAATGTCCTATTTCTGAGACAATCAGAGAGAGGTTAGAGTCCTGAAACAATTTATCTTTACTTCAGTGGAAAAATTGCATCAAGTCGAAAAATATTTCCAACTTCTGGGAACTGTGTTCTGCATTTTGATTGGCATATTATTTTTCCTACTCAAATAACTCAAAAAAAAGCATAATATTCTTAAATGAGCTTCGCGTAAAGACAAATAATAAATAAGAAAAATATGGTGTCCTCCCTAATCTGTGATTTGTATTAGACTAAATACCCATTAAACATATAAAACAGTTGTACCTGTATTTCCCCTTAACCAACTTTAAAGCTTCCAAACATCTAGCTTCTATTTAGAATTAAACCTCAATTCCTCTGTTTCAAAGACTCAATTTGTACAACGACAGTACTTTTCTAACTCTTAACAATACGAGGTCCACTTAATGGAGGTTGATGCTTCCATGTTTTCTATCTGCTTAACTATGACATATGAAGGTCTCATGCTGAAACCACTTAAGCTTGTTTCTCTAATTTCCTCATTACTTGGGCATCGACGTACCCTATGGTTCATTGCCTCTAAATAAAATTCTTAATCCAATCAGCTTTTACAGTTCAGTCCCAAAAGATCCAAAAAATGAAATAAAGTATGACAACTAACTATTGCACCAACCAGACTTGTTGCAGCTAGCCAACAAAGACAACAAAAGATGCATATCCCATTCCCTCTGGAGGCAAGCATCCTTATTTACTTCCCTAGGATGAATTAGACAAGTTCTTGTAGAAACATTTGTAAAGCTACCACTGCATCCTGCAAGCCTCGGATACAAATTTATTTCTCCTAGAACTAAAACATTTTATCGATCCACAATATGCTCAATGACAAACAGACAGAAAGGAAAAGAAGCACTGCTTACGAAGCATACATTGTAAGTCTAGCAGAAGATTTTCCAGCAACAGATCCACAGCAAGACTTGTATTTCTTTCTTGATCCACAAGGACATAGCTTGTTTCTTGGAATTTTCTACAACAGAGTAGATGGATTAGAAACTGCTAACAGATATAAGAGGAAACAAGAGGAAGGCTAAAAGAAACTGTTCTCTGATTAGAAAGCGCCAGGAACCTTGTCGTCAGAAGGTAAACTTTTTTTAGTCCGACTCCTTTCTAAATTACTTGTTCTACTCTCAGAAATTGCGCTTTGTTGTTTGCATTCTTCCGTTTGATGCTCACCTACAAACCTAAGAATTAGAATCCAACAGAGGAAGTTCTTCTTGGAAAAAAAAAAAGAAGTAACCAACATGATTATTTAGAGGGAGAATACGCAGCAAAGGAAGCACATAAGAGCGATCAGGTCTGTCACAGACCAAAAGAAAAAACAAAAAAGAGAGAGAAGAAAAGAAAAGAACAGTTTGGCATTTGAAAAATAAAACAAGATTGCCACTATTTACATATTTATTAATATGCTCCTCAAAAGCGAAAAGAAACCGGAAGATAATTTTGAATTACTCAATCCAAGTACAGACATCAGAACTAACAACCCCAGAATTTTCATAACATGGGGCTGAAACAAACATTAGAGAACTCCAAAATTATTCAAGCACCCTTCCTAGTATATCATGACCAGGAGTAGTTTGGCACAAATTAGCAAATTCAACACTATGATGATGAAGTCCTTCAAATTACAAAAACTAAGAAGTAAGTCTCGGAAATAATAAGGTATTAAGTATGATACAAGATATGCAAAAGTTTTTCATAGGATACAAGATAGCAAGCACTATTGAGCATCACAATTCGAATTACCGTGATTTAAATCTTCTGAACTAGGAACCTCATTTGCAACTATATCATTTTCGCTTCCCTGCTGTGCAATAAGATATTCTATTGCAGCATCTGCGTCACCATTTACTTCTTCAAGAACCTGGAATGTAACTGTTGTTAGAAAGAAGACAACGCATGGCAGGCAGTAACAATTGATGCAGTTGAAAATGTCATTGCATGATTAAGAAGTAGGATATGGAGTATTAAACTACTGCAAAACTATTACCTTTTTAACTTTTTCAATATCCATACATCCAGTTCCATCTATGACCATTTTCAGGCATCCAGTTTCAACAAAATTCCCAGCAGCTTCCTCTCTAGACTTGGTGTTGGACGTTTTCGCTTTGTTAGACGTTGTTGAAAGGTCACCATCAGCCTTTCATATACTAGAGGTTATCAGACTTCTAGTCAACAAGATGCCAAAAAAGGATAACAGTGCTTTGAGAGAAAAGGGCATGAATATAACAAGAACCAATGGCCAAGAAATCAATCCATTAAAAGAAATTAAATAAAGAAAATGGTAAACATGACAGCAACCTTGATAAATATTGGCCTTGCTGGTCCCGCACAAGTATCGTCCTTTGAACGCACACTGTTGTAATGCTCACCATCATGATAAGAACTGTATATCAATGAATTAGATTAGTACAACATAGAGGTTCTTTGTTTTTCCCTTCCAACTCAGCTGAGAAGAATGAGTTAGGACAACATAGAGCATCCAAAAGAAAGGAAAAAAAAACAAAAAAAAAAGGTGGAATATGCAGTACGTACATTATTCTTTTTTTTTCATAAGAATAATGCACAATGCCTAAAGCAAAAACAGTAGCTCAGGGATTCTCCTGTGTCTTCAAGTTGCTAAGCTGACACAAGTGAGAACCAAGACGAACACACAGTCAAGTTTGTACTGTACACTATTTGAACCATACACACTCTATGCCACGAAATAGATCATTCATATTACTCGCACTGATTTCCTATTTAAGTTGAAAGCTCCAAAGGGTAGTCATCAATCAGATCAATAAAATAATGCCAATTCCTGTAGATACATTCCAAGAATTAAAAATCCGGCACCCTGTTCATCCTATATACCATCAGGTTCTCTTTTAATGCATCAGCTGCTTCGTCATAGCTGATATATTTTCTATTTGAATAGAAGGTGACATGCAAATTACAGAAGGACAGCTGCTCCAGCCAAAGGGTGTACCAATATCTCACTTGTGAAGAACACAATATAATTTGTGATAGTATAGAACACCCCATTGAAACAAACTACACCGATCAGTGTTTGACAAATCATATTTGCATCTCAAAATAATTCCAACACTAGAACTCACATTTATCTTGACTCCTATGACCATAATCATCCAAAAACTGGGAAGAAGGGAATTTGAAAAAGATGAACGTACTTACAGATGGATCATTCTCACTTCACGACTGTCAAAATTCCGTATGTACCATCGAGGAAAGTCATGCTGCACCAGAAATGAGGAAAATTTCAAATGAATGTAGGTACTTAACAGTTAGGTGGAAAATTGTGTAAGAGCTGAAAAAGAAAGGCCAAAAAAGTTTACCCGGTGGATGCATATATTGCATCGGGTCACAAGAGAAGCAGCTTGCAATTCCATATGCCCAGCCCAAGTTCCATCCTTCTCCATAGACTGACAATAGTCATCAAACGGCACCTCATCCTCAATAAAAGGCTCAAATATTTCTCTATTCTCCTGTTAAATGTAACTTTAGGGATCAGATACTTAGCGCGATAACTTGATAATGAAAGCAAAAGTAACAAACAGTAAACAAGTCAGCACATAAATAATATGTTTACACAAACAAGCAAAGATTAAACCACCAAACAATAGGGGCAGCAGCCTAGCACGGAAGAAAACTACACGGATCATGTTTAGCTTTTTTAAGCTATTGAGACTTCTCTCAAACCGGAATTGACTATGAAACCCACTGCCAAGGCTATTTGGCTACCCACTAAATAAGAGCACCACTTAAACACTTATATTTCTGCATTGAAACACTATTAAGCCGTTCCTGACCTTCAGGTGAAATTATATCTTCTAGAAATTTTCCCTGTTTATGAATTTAAAGCAATCCCATGTTTTCATTATTAGGGGGACAAAAACTAACTGAAGATAGCCCATACCATTATATACTTGACTACCATGTTCCGATACTTTTGGTGCTGTTCCTCATCTCCTTCCAATTGATCGCCAAGAGCTCTGCGCAAAAGTTAATTATCACTGGCTGAAAAACCTTACCATAGTTATTGCAGCCACAAAATTCTGAAGATAAATACACGAAAATTTTGCATAGAATCAAGAACTCTCGAACCTGAAGAAACAATTACCATCAGCAGTCACTTGAATTATTTTTAAGCCTAAACCATCCAGCTGCTTTCTAAATTCTGAAATATCAGCCGGCTTCCCGTGCTTCTTTGCCTATATCCTCGGCGGCAAAAAGAAAAAAAAAAACCGTCAGAAAAATCCGGAAAAGTAAAGGCCATTGCAGTACTAAATAATCAAACTCAAAACTACGATATTCGGGAGCAAAAATATAATGGGCCTCTTGACAAGAATCCAGAGAGACTTACGTGGGAAGATTTGGGGTTTTGTTTTGGTTTGGATTTTTGGTGCTTTGTTTTAACCATTGTGTTGTTAAATCGAAGATTGTGGAAGGGGTACCATTGAACAGATTTCAATTTGAACCTGAAAACTGTAGCAAAATTGAAGATCGGAGGACGAGAGGGAAGGAGGAGCTGTCCGAAATGTTAAACCTTTTAGCTTTTTGATTAAGATGTCGCGGTAAACTTAACACGATTTCGCGCCGCCGCCGCTTTTAGTTAAGGTTTTCCAAGTGATGGAGCGACTTTATATTATATTCTTTTCTTTGTTTCTTTCTTGGTTTGTTTCAATACGGGTATTGTTTTACCACATTGATTCTAATTTCCAACCAATGCAAGTCATTACTGATATCGTGTCACTTTTTTTTTTTACACAATTCAATAATTTGGTATAAATTTTATTGTTCGTGATAGTATTTACACTAACAATTCATTTTTTTGAGTTAAGGCATATTTATTTAATTTTCATAGTTAAAGTTTCAGTTAAAAATTCCAAATTTCATTCAAAGTATGATAACATTCATACAAAAAATAAAATAGCAATATAAAAGTTATCTACAATTAAAGTATGTACTTGTGTTATCTCTATCAACACAAAATATATTACCTACATGAAATAAATATATTACATAACAACAAAGAGTGCACTACAAAAGTGTCACAGGGGATCTAGCTGTATATTGTATGACTAAGAATGACAAATAATCTTGTACTCAATCCGGTTTGAAATAATTATGCAGTTTAAATTTTTATTTTCTAACATAAATTATACTAATGATGAAAATTCAAAAACTACAATCATATTTTAGAATAAAAAATACTCCCTCTGGTTCTTATTATAAAACATTTTGATTTATCTTAAATTTTATTTAGTATATTTTTTTAATTGAAAATAAAATCTTAAAAAATAACTTTTCATATTTACTGTATTCTTCCAGTTATTAAAAAAATGAAAAATTTTATGTTGAATAAACAAAACAAATTAAATAGTAAAACTTATGACAAATTAAAATTTGTCATAATAAGAACAAGAGAGAATATATATTTAACTCAATAGTCCATCGTTACCACATGAAACTCTTGAATCGCCCATTCATTCTCAAGACATTGTGCCTGCCTTTGATCAACGTAGCCAATCTTGAAAATAGGTTCTATGCACCCTCAATTTTCAAACGAGATGTAACCCTAAATCTTGTAGCTAAACCTTCGCGATGAAACAATACCCAATATTCAAGATAAAATCGTCAACCCATTCTACCGTCGTACTTATTATGTACAATACCTCGTGCTTTAGCCATCCCGGGTTTACTTAAAAGGCTGGGTTCAAATTTTTTGTTTTCGTTTCATTATTCATTTCAAAACTAATTAATTTATAACATTTAGTATATTTTTTTACACTGTCAATACAATTGTATATATTTCTAATACCGTACAACTTTTTTTAATAATTTCAACTTAATTAGAAATGGAATTTAAAAAATTTTACTATATATTATTCTCACAAGTCCTGAATAATGACATTATATTGCGGACTGTACGTGGATACTCTATTATATATGCGGAAAAAATGACATTCTGTGTATATTTCCTCCCTTCGGTCAAACTCCTCGAAACACGAAAAAGAATAGATAAAACACTTGATCAAAAACAGATTCAAGCACAACAATGAATGAATAACAAATCATCGTTTCAAATTATTATCACATCCATGCAATACTCTCACATTTTCTCATTTCATGCCTGGAACTAACAGCCTTATTTTACTTCTTAAATAAGAGAATATTAGTGGTTTCTCATTTATTTTTAATTCGAGTTCGTAAACCTATTAGAACTAATGAGAAGAAATAACGGCGCCCTAAAAATATTTTAGGGTCAAAAGTACAAACCAAAACTTGTCACTAAAGTAAGATACCAAAGACAGTAAAAAAATAAAAATCCGGTTCGCCATATAGCTAACCTCTCTAACGATATGTGCAGAATAAAATAACTATCTATTGTAGAATCCTTACACATTAATACATCATCGGATTCCTGTCTTCTGAAGAGAATATCTTAGCTTTAAAATGTTCGTCGGTGACTTATCCATGTTACACAACCACATTCTTTTTTAGGTGCATGTGTAATAAATACATCAAATTGAGGGGGTTTGCCCATTGGAGCCAGTCAGTAGGTTGAAGTTTTCTATTTTGGGCGGTCGCCCTTGAGTTTGTAATCAATCTCAAAGCTGAATTAATTTCAATATATTACTATTCCGTCACGAATAGTCGATTATTTTATTACTCCATCCGTTCTAAAATAAGTGTCCTTCTAGCAAAATAGAAAAATTTCAAAATAAGTGTGGTTCTTAAATTTCAATGCACTTTTTGTCTAAAATTTCCAGAATTACCCTCAAAAGAATTAATACTATTGATGGACATTTTTTTAATGGGATTAGTTGAGAATATTCAAGTAATTTTATAATCCTATTTAAAAATTTCTTAAACTATGTACAAAATATAATATGACAATTATTTTGGAATGAAGGAAGTAAAATATTACTTAATGACCAGGGCCGGCCCAGATGGAGGTGCAAGCGGTGCTTTGCACCGGGGCTCCCAAGAAAAAAAAAGGCCCATTTATGTATTTTTTTGTTTTGTTTAATGTTATATTTGATATACGAGCCCAAAATTTATTTTAATCCAAAAGTAAAATGTATGAACTAAAAAGTTATTTTACACAAAAATATGGTGGGCGATAGTGATTAATAAATTTTAGACTTATTTTAAATAAATTTTTTAAATCTATATTAAAAGAAATAGAGTATATTTACTTTGTTAGGGTCCATTTTCATTACTTCCACTAGGGCCCCCAAAAAGTTTGGATCGGGCCTGCTAACGACAACTCATTTTTCTGGTAAATGTTGAAATTGGATTATTATTTTTTTTTGTTGATACTAAGAAAAAGACTTCGCATATTAATTTATCGATAAAGCTTATATATATATAGTGGAAGTTAAGCTTATATAAATGCTCTTGAAACCTTGGAATAGTGGAAGTTAAGCATGCTTAAAAGTGAACAAAAAGGGGCCACGGAAGGGGCTATATAAATCATCATTATCAGAGCCATCATTTCGATCTTAATTTTCTTGGAAAATTAGGTTAGTGGGAACTGGAATCGATTGATAAAGCACAACAACCCGGCATATATACGCTAACAAGGTTTTAGGTTGTATACATTTGTCGAAGAGGCAATCAAATATCAAAGCTCCCCATGGTGCAAAACTGCCTGCCAATGGATGGTTGATCAACAACGAAGATGTGCCATAGTTATTTTTGAGACATTTTTGTATTTTTTTTTCATATATTAATTATAAATTATTTTCCATTGTTACGTTTCAGGCACAATACTTATTTAAATGCCTAATGATTTAATAATTAATTTTACATATTTGTCATTTAAGAAAATTTTAAGAGTTCGGTGACAATGACATTGGTGTGTATGAGCATGAAATAAACTGTTCTCATAAAATTCACCAGAATTTTTTTGCTTCAGAGGATCGGTATCTCAATGTGACAGGAGAACAAATCATGCATTGTTATAAACTTATTCCGTCAGAAACTAGATTTGTTATACTTTAATATTCTCTCTGTCCAACAATAAAAAAAAAGTAGTTTATTTTGAGTTTTTAAATCTGTACCGTTTTTAATGCAAAACTTAAAACTCAATATGAGTATTTTTTTTTTATAATTTAATAAAAGTAGTATTATTTTGATTCAATATATGCGAGACCTATTTTAAGACAAATCATAAAACATCACAGACATTTCTGGAACACCTCTAAGAGAGGCACAAATTTTGTTATATTATTTCAATTTGATAATATGAACTATTTTTAAAAGGTGGAAAATATTAATTATATGGCCTTTGATAACTAGACAAAGCAAAGATCGCTGTGGGGGGATTTTTCATCTGTCTTCTACCTCTAACCACGTCTACTTCACAAGCCTACCCTCCCGGAAGCTTATGAAAAATGGCTGCTGTTGAACTGTGACAATCCAAATGTAAGTTTAGGTTAAGTTACATCATGGAAAGGTAAGAGTTGACATATCACACGTGTTCTGAAATGAATTGTACAGAAAAAATCATCTCCTAGAATTTCTTTTTAAACTTTATTTTTTGGGCTTAAATCTCCTAGAAGGTGAGAAACTGAGAACAATACATATTTTGCGTTTAACCATGAAAAGTTATAAGTTGACACTTGACACCTTACTCAATGGTAGTAGTAGTACTTAGTTACTGTATTAAACAAAACGAGGGAAAGAATTGCTTCTTTGACTTTGTCTTTTTGCTTGATCTGCATTTCCCAAAGATAAACAGTAAAATGATGCTGAACTTTTACACCACACTCTTTTGGTACATTGGTCCTCGGAAAGCGTCCATTTCTTAAAATCCCAATGATGAAGAACAGTACTAAAAAGTTACGTGAAATTAGAATCGACTTTACCATTTATTTTTGGATATCGGGGAGTTAGAGCATGCTAAGGTGAACCGTGTAGCACATTTGTTCCGAATGATTTACTATACACTCTAATTTACAAATTAAGTAGATGTGTGTCTGTCTAGCATTGATGAGATATGGAGAACAAGAAAAGAAATGCTGGTATTATACTATCATCAACCAGGAACAATTCACGTATAGAAATAGCAGTATTCCACTGTTTCTGTCGAAATACAATGCTTATGTTTGCACATTAGGAGTACACTTTGAATGACAACCAGTTTATTTAAGACTCAACAGTGACACTTTCACATGTTGAATCGACCAATTTGTGGGTAGATATTTCGTAATTATCCACCTCCAATTTGAGTAGTATTTAATAAAAAAAAAAAAATACAAGATTGGGAATTTTTTAAAATATCCACTGCAATGACACATACTGAATCACTGATATTGTTTTTTTTTCTTTCTATAATAATCTGGTAAATTTCGGGACCAACCAACCAAATTATCTAGGCATAAACCAAAATCAATTTTTCAGAATTAAATAGGAATTAGTACCTCTTAAAAAAAAAAAGCACTTAAATTACAGTTGACTAGGACAGTGACATACTAACACATGACTCATGTCACATTGACACGGACCTAGGAACCTCTTTGAAGACAGCCTTTTTCATTTCATCTTTCCCACCTCCCCGGCCCGACCCGGATCCAAATACAAATCCAAAAAAAAAAAAAAAAGAAGAAAAAAGGCCTGTCTGACTGTCTCCCTCTCACTTTCTCCAAGTAATAAAGGAAAAACTCAAAAAAAGGCCTCTTCTCAACTCTCTAGTCTCTACAGTATAGAGTTTACACTCACAAGAAGGCTCACTCTCTCACACGCACACTGAAGAAATTCATTATTTTAGTAGTATTTTACACTTGCATTTATTATCTTCTACATCTTCACTGTTCTCTTTATCTCTACCTCAACTAACTCTGTTCTTCTACTACCTTTTTTCTACTTGCTCAAATTCCGTGATTTCTTCAGGAATGATCTTCTTCCCCAATGTGCTTAGGTAAGATCATTACTGTTTCCACCGAACCCTATTTGGCTTTTTGTAATTACAATGACTCCCCTGCATTGCTTTTATATCATTTCTTCAAGGTTATGATGTGGTCTTTTCAAGATTGTGCTTCTCTGTTAAATCTTCTTCTAGGAGCTGATTAATTGTGAGCCTTTTTCTATTAAGACCTGCTGTTGCTGAGCTTTTTTCCTGATGGTTTTCTTTGTTTATGGAAATGTTTGTTTCCCTTTCCTTTTTTGGGTAATTCCTATTAATGTGCTACATGGTTGTTTGGGTTGTTCTCCAACTTGCTGTCCCTTTTCATACAATGTGCCCTGCATTTTCAACAACAATTTGCAGAAGTAGGTTTCCATGACGTTTGTATAAGTATTTTCTTGGAGCATTGTGGAGTTGAATAATCAAATTTGAAAGAACCAACTGATGATGTGGACTTTGTTTCTTTAGATAGTTCACTAGAAGGGATTAGGCTTCTACTTTCTCAGTCACATTATTAAGTGTTATGACTGTTAGTGCAGATTGTAGCCCGTGCAAACTATGCCCGGAGGAACTGCAGGATTCTATTCGCAGATAGTTTTCGGATTTTCGGTTATTGCATAGGCATTGCTGAAGTTTTTGTCAAGAGCAAGCAATGGATCATAAGTCATCCTGGCCTTGGAAGAAAAAACCTACAGAGAAGACAATAATTGCAGATGACAAGAGTAACCTTTCTTCGACTAAAGATGAAAATGAGGTAACTTTCCTGGACTAATCTTTTGTAGTTCACTTTCTGCTTCACATTATATCATTCAAATACAATAATTCCTGCCTAGTTGGAAAGAATATGCATAATGAGAATGACCAATGGACTGGTCTATTGTTCATGTTATTTTGCCTGGATCACTTCTGTGAGGTGCAGATTTCTTCGTTTGAATGTCGACTTCTACATCTGGCTTAAATTTGTCACTGGCTCAATCAGTTTGTTACAAAACTCATCCAGACTATTATTGTACTTATTGATGCTCCTTGTAGAAGGGATGCAGGCAAACTGTCCTATAGGTATTCCTTATGGAAATGTTTACTATTATTGGAATAAATGCTCACAATATATTTCTCATATGCAGACATTAGTAGATCCTAAAGCACAATTAGAAAGAGATCTGAAACTTCTGAACGAAAAGCTTTCTTCTGCCCTTGCTGAGTGTATGCATAAAGATGATTTTGCAAAGAAACAGGCTAAAATCGCCCAGGAAGCTATTGCAGGTGATTCTGCGTACACTTGATTTGCAGTTTAATTACTATTCTATATTCTGTATTCGCTATCCAAATACTGTTAGGACAACTTGTATCTCTTGCTGATGAAAGGTTTGTATAGGCTGGGAGAAAACAGAGACAGAAGCATTATCTTTAAAGCAAGAACTTGACAAAGCCTTGCAACAAGTAGTATCATCTGAAGAAAGATTAGTTCGCCTGGATGCAGCGTTGAAGGAATGCATGCAGCAGTTGCGCTTTGTCCGGGAAGAGCAGGAGAAAAGAATACATGATGCTGTAATGAAGACATCCAAAGAATATGAAAACTCACGGATTTCCTTGGATCAGAAGTTAGCTGAGGCCAGGAGAAGAGTTTCTAGGTTGGAAAGTGAAAAAAATCAGCTTAGTAAGGCACTGTTAACGAAGGAAAAGGTGATTGAAGAATTAAGAAATCTAAGAGCACAGACCGAGGCAGACCTTGGTTCTCTGATAACCAGAGTAGAGTCTACTGAGAAGGAGAATGCTTCTCTGAAATATGAGGTCCGCGTGCTTGAGAAGGAGCTTGAGATTCGGAATGAAGAAAGAGAATTTAATCGTAGAACTGCTGATGTTGCACACAAACTACATCTGGAAAGCGCAAAGAAAATTGCTAATCTGGAGGCAGAATGCCAGAGATTACGTGTTCTTGTTCGTAAGAGGTTGCCAGGCCCTGGAGCTTTAGCGAAAATGAAGAATGAAGTGGAGATGTTGGGAAAGGGTCAATCTGAAAGAAGGAGAAGGAATTCCAGTCCATCCTCTATTGAACCCGCAGATTTTTCTGCAGATGAGGCCCCTGATACGCCCATAAGAAAGATCAATTTCTTGACTGAGCAATTATGTCTTTTGGAAGAAGAGAATAGGAATCTCCAAGAAGCTCTGAACAAGAGAATGAATGAACTTCAGAACTCTGCAGCCATGCAAAGAAAAGAAGCTTCCAGCTTATCACTTGTAGGTCATCTTGTGGATAATGGAACACAACAACAATATAAGAATTCAAGTGCCATTAATGGAAAAGAAATGTCTCTGGCATCCATATCTGACATGGGCAGTGATGATAAAGCCAGTTGTGCTGACTCTTGGACTTCGGCTTTGATATCTGATCAGGAGCAATTAAAGAATGGAAAAGCAGTGCAAACACCAATAAGTAGAAGTGTTGGATCTTCAGACATAAGCTTAATGGATGATTTTGTTGAGATGGAAAAGTTAGCTGTTGTATCTGCAAAGAGTCCATATGGCATTAAAGACTATGTTGCAGAGAATGATGCAACCCTTAATCCCTTGAAAATGCAAGCTAGTGAAAATGTGGCTGGTGTAGCTACTAGTGATCTGTACAAAATACCAGTGCCTAACCTGCCAAATGGACTGAAAAGGGTGCCAATTGATCATGCTCCTTCTAGTTTTGAAAGCTTATTGAAAATGGTTTTGCAGCAAAGCCAAGTGTTACAGCTTAAACCTGTTGAAGTACTTGATGAGATTAAAGCTGCATTGCAACAAAGTGTTTGTCCAGATTCTCAACAGCACGATATCAAGGAAAGCATGGGCAATGATATTGCTGTATCTGCCGAAAAGCATAAGTCTGAGGTATCTCTACAAAAAGGTGTGAAGGAAGATATATCTGACAAAGAAGTAAGCATTAATATCTACAGACCAAAAAAGATCAGCCCCAAACTACAGCCTAACATGGGCAAATCGATTCATAAGATTGTAGAACTCATTGCAGGGATAACTATACCGCCGTTGGATGATTGTAATGCACATATGTCGTCCAGGAAAGATGATACATTTCTGCAGTATGAAAGTGCAGAAAATCCTACAGGATATGTTGAACGTGTGTTTCAATGGAAAGCGTCTGAACTATCCAGCACCTTAAAGAGGTTTGTACAAAGTTGCCATGATCTGTTAAATGGAAAGTCAGATCTTGAAAGTTTTACTGAACAACTAGCGTCTACTTTGGAATGGATCATGAACCACTGCTTTTCACTCCAAGATGTTTCAAGCATGAAAGATGCAATCAGAAATTATTTGGATTGGGATGACTCAAGAAGTGAAAGTGAAATAGACAGTGTAACAGTTAATCCTATTTCAGAGTCAAACAAGTTGACCTTCCAAAAGGAAGAGATCTTCTCTTTCACACTTTCCTCTCTCTCAAATGTGTGTAACAGTGATTCTGTAGTTAAAGAAGTTGGACCATCAGCAAAAGAAGAAATTGCAACAGTGAAGTCTGAATCGCCAAGCAATGTATCTGCAAAGCATGATGTGGAAGAGAGATGCCAATCAGAGGTTCTGAAGAGTGAACCCCATAACTTTGAACAACAGGAGTCTCACAAAGCAGTTGACAGTTTACAGATGGAAGCAGACATCATCGAGCATATGAAGGAGAAAGCAACACATCCATATGAAAAGCACCAGAGGCTAAATGAATATCTTGATACTCAGCTGTCTATGCCCAATAATGAATTGAAGGAATCTGGTGATAAGATGTCTGTGGTAAATGAATTGGATAGCAAAGAACATTCTCGCCAACAATTAGGACAGACATCGCATGATATGCCACTTCCACAACAAAGGTATGTCTTATTCGTCTTATTCATTCTCCATCAGAAGTATTTTGTAATGTGCAGGACTCATAGTTTTGATATGTCCATTTTGCAGCATGAATTCAAAGGGATGTTCAGATGATGTCATGGACAATAAAAAAGAACTAAGAACTGTAAGTCCCTATCTTCTTCCAGAGTCAGGTTCAATTGTTGGTTAAAGCTTTTTGTTCATTGCTTTATGTGAAGAATGTTACTAAGAATGGAGGAAATTGCATAGAAATTCAGGTCCATAGTGCACAAAATGCCGCACAACACAAAATTCATTCACCCTAGTAACAGTGGGAATATTTTTTAGCCAAGTTTCTTTTCATGATTAGTTTGATTGCTCCAGAGTATGGTAGATAATAGACTGCTAGTTAGATTGCCGAATCTTTTAATGCAATTCCACACTTAAAAACTTCTACTAGCTGCAAAGGGCGTTCAGCCGTTCACACTGATCATCCTTATACTACTTTAAAACTTCTACTAGTTACAAAGGGCGTTCAGCCGTTCACACTGATCATCCTTTTACTGATTGATCATCCTCACTGAGACCTAGCAACTTGCTAGAAACTGATACGGCCCAATGAAATTGTAATATTGTAGGATTGGGAGATAGTAGCAGCTTCAGAGAAGTTGGCCGAGTGCCAAGAAACTATCTTAAACTTGGGGAAACAGTTAAAGGCGTTGGCTTCACCCCATGAGGCAGCACTGTTTGATAAGGTCATCTCTAGCCCTGCTCATGAAACTCTTGTTGCCACATTGACAACTCCAGAGAAGATTCGCCCGCGGACATCTCTCCTGGACAAAATGCTTGCTGAAGATGAGACTGAGAGTAAGGATTTTGACTCTCAAAAAACTGAGGTTCATATGCTGGATGCTAAGAGCTACCCTGCAGCATTTGCACCTAACAAGACCACGGAAGTCCTGGAGACCATTTCAAGTCCAAACAGAGTTATTAGTCCACCAAAAGATGAAACTGCGACCGGTTACATGGCTATCATTCCTAGTAAGAAGAGGAGAAATGGAGGATTGTTAAAGAAGCTACTACGGATGAGAAAGACTGGTGGTTGCTAGGTAGGATCACGCTAGCCCCTCGGAAGTTGAGTGATAAACAGAGGCCTGCAAATGTTTGCGAGTGGATTTGGTATCAAATTTGTCAGGTTAAGGTTTGAGCTAGGTGAATTTTTAATAGTATCAATTTATTTCATGTGGAGATATATCCGTGATCACAATAGAGATGTAAAATGGCTGGAGTGTTACATTCGCTGTATATAAAGAAAAAAAAACGAATACGAGGTTTGTAGTTTGTACAATCAACAGCTCAATAATATTCGAATCTCCCACACAAATTAGAAAATGCCTAATCTTTTTGGATGTTCAAACCGAAATTTGGATGTTTGAGTCACCTGATTAATCAAATAAAAGACAAACAGCCCGTCATAAAACTCGACCAATCATTGTATTCGAAATTAACAGAAATGAAAGCAGATACTGAAAATCACTTGTTTGGTCATCCAAATTAGATAACAATGTGTATCAAATTGTCCCGTTCGTATATGCATTCACGTTGAATTATACAGAAGCGAACAAAACTGAAAAGGGCAAGAAAGGAGATAGCAAAGCGTGAAATTGATTATCTGGATTTCAATCTCTGTATAACACAAATTTGGCAATGTCATGAAGCCCAGCTTCCTCATAACAAGCAGCGATTCGCTCCAAGTCATCATCCCAGGTGCCTTCTACCGAAGCCAGATCCAACAAAAAAGCAGCTTCATCAAGAGCAACCTACAAATAATGGCAGATGAAGATAATTCAGCACAGAGCACTAACAGGAGATGAACTACAGAGAAACGTTACGCCCAGTTTTACCTGAGCAGGTTCTTTTCCCTTCTTTAAATCTTCTCTCCGCCCCTCCTCCGACACCTTCTCCTTTATGAACTCGATTTGTTCATCGTCCCATTGCGCAATACTGGCAACTTCCTGAACAAGGATAAGATAGGAAAACCCCCCAAAAGAATCAAGACTGTATAGTATGTTGAGATAAGAAAAAATTAACAATCATGACAAAATTACTACACACATGGTACTCGCTGCCTAAAGTCCACCATGGTGATTTCAAAGCCACCCTAGCAGAATCTTTAGCTTCCCAATTTCGTCCAACCCTACATTAAGCATAAAGAAACACCATTTTCTTATCCGAATAATGCCTTACAGTAGGAAGAGGAAAAAGGTTGAGGTAGAAATATACAGACTTTAACAACACTTCAGCATTAAAAACAAAAGGCCGTCCAAATCCTGGAAAATGCTCCTTCTTGGTGTAGAATTCCCCAGTCACCAAGGCTGAAACCTTCCAAGTTCCACCAGAAAGTATATATCACCACGTATAACAAGACGCATACACATCTCAGTTAAAATAACTCAAATGTTTCTTACATGGTCCCCCTTTTCAAAATGACTCCTGACCTTGCGCTCTAAAATGTCTGGAAACAACCCAACCTGCAAAATGGGAATTTTGTCATGGCCCCTTTTGAATTATGCATTTGTACTGTTCAAGCACAAATTGCAAGCTAGTACCTTCTTCAAAATATATATGTCTAGACTTGAAATCCCAGATGTAACAAAGTCGCCCTTTTTGTATAGCTGCTCTCCGACATCAGCAGAGGCATGAAATAATTCGTCATTTCTATCTTCAGAACTTTTAGTGTCTTCTTCTACCAAGAGTCTGTGAATGTATTGATCCACCTGTATGAGACCACATAGCAAATGAACCAGAGAGCAAACAAACAAATGTACTCTTGAGCACTTGAAGCTAAAGAATGTGATTGAAAGTTTGTAACAATGTAATTATACCGCCATCAGAGTGCACCACATCTTAGACTTACATTCTTTGCTAACAGCCATAATCCATGCTTTCGTACTTCCACAACAGGCATCTCCATTCTGTATACGTCAGAAGTTCGGATTGAGAAACAAAAGCAAAAGAATAATCCCTAAGCAAAAGCTCTGCAGTACATTACCCAGTCGGAGCAGTGGGCCATCGTAGCAAAGAGATTACGGAACCTGTGACAAGAAAATGAGTGGTCAAGTTAGAACTTAGAACAGTTCAAACATACCTGCCTCTCTCAAACACAATCCTCATCCATACCTGAGCTGTTTTCAGACAAAGGAATAGCAAGAGGGATTAACCCTTGCTTGGCCCCTGGAGACATAATTGTTTCGCCTGCCATGAAGCAAAACATTTATGCCCAAAGTTTCCTAATCGCAGATATTTTAAAAATTCCACTTAATCAAGGAGTATCAATACTCATCGAAAATGAACAGAAGTTTCTATCATGACCATCCATTAAACATCAAAATCAATAAGCTGCTAAAGGTAATAACCAATATAAATCTCTTTATAAGTACATAAAACATTGCTCAAATCATTGGTATTGATTGCATAGCGAGAAACTTTTGCTACACCCAAAATATATCCCTTTGATTTTATATGACCATTTCCATGAAAACTACATCTCTAATGAACACTCCTGTAACAACCAATGTAGATAATCATTGAACTTCCGTATGCTACAAATAAGTAAGAAGATAAACACTAACGCCACAAATGATCAAGAAGATAAACAACAGTTACAGGGAAACACTAACGCCACAAGCATTTCCTGCACAACAAATAAGATAGTGAAGGAGTATTACCTTACCTCTAACCTTAAGCATTTTCAGAAGATTATTTAAATGCTGTGGAGGTTCAGTTGCTGCCACTTCTTTGATGAATGAAACATGATCTACGGAGAAAATTCGAAACTTTTATCTAAGTAAATGTCAGAGTCCACTGAGCTTTCTTTGCTCTCTAATACTATTAAAGGGAGGAGGTAAAAAATGGAAGAAGAATTTACCAGGAGAGGAAGAGGTGTAGCACCGAAATGTTGGCATGCAGCGGCGGAAGAGTCCAGGACAAGAAGCGGCGGCGCGTGGACCTCCGAACACAACTCCACCGCTGGCCTTCATGTCCTCTCCTTCTATGGCTCGCGTTTTTTTTTCCTCCTGATTTTCTTCTTCCACTGGTTTGTTTGGTTATGGAACTTGGGGCTTGGATAAGGTTTTGCAAATCAAATCATTGGCCCAATATATATATCTAGTTCGAAACCGTGCTAGTTAGCAAAGAGAGCGCAAAGGCCCATTTCAAACATCGTCGTTTCTTGAATGGAAGAATTAGTCCATTCGTACTTGGGTCGAAATTTCGTTTTAGTTACTAAAAAAAGAAGAACAATTGTAGTACATGGATGTATCGTTTCGTTTTAGTTACCGATAATGGATAGTTTGTAATACTAAAAACTATACATTAGTAGTAATTTGGGTATCAAATATGAATAGAATATATGTGACTGTATGTAACACTTTCTCCATCTCATAGTGTAAGGAAATGAAGTTTTTGGGACAAAAATGTACTATTTATTAATTTACATGTGTGACGAAATTTGAAACGCACATTTCAAAATTTCCCTCTATCAGCCAAAGTCAAAACCTTTGAAATAATATTGCAGAACAACCAAACACGTGAAAAATATTATTTCCTTCCGTCCTTAATATGAGACATTTTGATTTGTCTTAGATTTAACCTAGTACATATTTTTAATTAGTCAAGAAAACTTAAAAATATTTTATAACAATCAAGAGAATACAACAAATGTGAAAAAATATATTATTAAGATTTTTTCGTCAGTTAAAAATAAGTATTAAGTGAAATTTAAGACAAAATCAAAATGTCTTATATATTAAGAAATGGAGAGAGTATGATTAATAAGTTGTTGGAAAAAGATAATGGAGTTGTGGGGGAGTATAAGAAATTGCAAGGAGTTATGCTTTTGGAAGGCATGAAACTTTTGCTCTTGGTACATTGACTGTATCAACTAAAAACGTAAAGAGATTTTCTCCAAAGAAAATAAAATAAAAAAATGTAAAGAGATAGACACAAGAGATCAGAAGTTTCATGGCTTCATGCACTAAAGTAATCCCTCTCATTCTAATAATCAGTCACAAATTAATACTAAAATTAGTTCAAATTTATACTTTATAATTAGGACGCGATAGAGTAATTTATACTCAAATATGAAATTTTGATCTCAAAATTTATAATAACAAATGAATGGAAGAAATAAGTTTGTTACAAAACTAATACTACTATCATGAATATTTATAACGAGAAGTTCTATGCGTCTGAAAATAATTATATGTTGGTTGGGGTGGAAGAGGAGTACGTGAATGGGCATTTTGGTAGTGGATGTGAGTTTAGTAGAGGACGGTTGTTGTCTTGTTTGATTAGGTCCACAATCAAAGTATAATTATTTGCCATTTAAATATGTTTAAATTTTGTGGGGCGACTTTTCGAAAGTTTATTTTGTCAATTAATTAACATAATTGTTTGGCTGGATTTAGCAGTACTTTTCTCATGCCAAATAGTAAAAAAACTCTCGTTAGTTTGGAGACTTTGGACTTGAACTCACTTCCTATCCAAATTTCAATCCACAACGTAAATTAATATTATTTTTTTTAAAAAAAAATCTGATGTAGTTCATGATGTTCATCAGATTCTGAGTTAGTAACCGCTTTGGAAGACACTAGTAATAGCAATATCTAGTAAAAGACCAAAACAAACCGCTAAAGAGAAGAAGAACCGTTTTTTTTTTTTTTTTCATTATTAAAAATGTCTTCCTCTTCCTGAATTTTCACTCATGTCCTAGGGTTTTAGCTATCCAACCCCCACCGAATCCCAAATTCCGGTCGCATTGGTGTTTCGCTCTGTATGAGTCGGATCTTCTCTATTCGTAGCTCCATTGCTGGATCGTGTTCAACGTCGCTGGACAAACTCCGCCACCGGCAATGTCGGCGTCCAAAACATCCGCTGCCTCTTCCGCGTCAGAATCCGATTCTTTCAATGGAAATCCGCCGGTAAGTGCCTTGATTCTATTTTAATTGAATCACTGCCATGCTGCATTATGAATTGGACATTGTTGCTGTGGTAACACCTTCATTCACTTTTTTATCAATGCGTTAACTTTTGCCATCCTAATTCTGATTGTTGGCTGTAATGTTTGGCTAATTTTCCTCTAAGCTCAATGTGAGTTCAGAGTTCATAATTTACAAATTATACTGCATTTGCTGGTACTGGGACGAATTTAGGAAGTATGTTGTTTATATTTTGCTATTTGTTTTCAGTTTTGTTATAGTTAAGATCACTGTGTGGTATATAGAGAGCTGATAATATTTCATGGAAAACAAAGCAGAATTCTCAACTTGGTGATCCATTTAATAGTATCCCTGCTGGAGAAATTATTGCGAATCATAACTTATTCTTGGCTATAGTACTGTAGCCGTTCTCGGGCACAGGTTTTTGTTAGAAAGCATGGAAGAATATAGTTAAATTTATCATGAAATAGGAGAACAATGTTCATAAAATGGAAAGGTAACAGGCTTATCGATGCTTATTTCCTTTTTGTCATGCCTGTTGACTATATAAGACTTAAAAAGGTAGCTTTAAAGCTTTCAGTAACACCTCTTAAAAACCAAATTGAAGGCATCATTGTTTGGATTCCTTTGCTTTTTCTTTGTCATTTAATCCAGAATCACATTTACCTTTTCCTTTCGCGCGCTCTTCCGTCATGATGCTTGCAATTGATTTAGGGATCTCTAAGATCTTCTGTAGTACCTCATCTATTCCTTTTCATCCTCCTGAAGTAACTGGTACTCGTCTTGTTTACATTAAAGTTTTACTGTCACAGACTTAATGTATGCATTTAACTTCCTTGGTTTGCAGTGTGAAGGAAGTAGTTACATACTCTATTTGAAAATTCTTTTCGAGCCTTTCTATATTCTTCTCACTTATTTATCTAGTTATATGTAATGAATTGTGCTCCTTTCTCTCGGTTCACTTTGTCACCCACTTCAAAATTGTGGCTGCGTTTGTTTATTTTCCATACAATCTTTCATGCACAGAATAAGTAGGAAGTGGAACTTTGAAGGATATCTTTTGCCACAATGTCTAAGATTAGTGCCTCATATTTCCTACACCATTATGTGCTCTGTTCTTTGAATATATAGCATGTGATAAGATACAAGTTGAGTTATGAAAAGGTCTTTTGAGGTCTATTATGCTTGTTCACAAATAGAAGCATTATAAGAAAGGTGAGCGTAGCTAGCAGATTCAACTAGGATTGAATGATTTTCTGAACTAATGATTAGGTAATCTCTTGGAGAAGGAATTATTGTGCTTAAATCAACTATAAAGTTCAATCCTGCTATAATTATTCTAATGTGCTAAAAACTAGAATGAAAAGTCTTTTTGGTGTGCCACCATGCATCATTCGACTCTAACTTCAAACTATGTTCGTTGGTGATACAATTGTGCCTGATTTCTGTCATGTGATCCAGTGAGAATGATATTTCGCAGGAATGTATTTAGTAAAACAATTTAAGTGAAATATGTGTCTTGACAGAGCACAATTGTTCTTTATAATCTACTATTTAGTCAATCCCACAGTGGAACATTGGGCTTAGTTGTTATTGTCCATTAAAAAGATAATAATAATAACTAAAAAATAGCAAAGATTTTCTGATTATTACAGTTTTTGAATTATGGCAATATGGTGTATCCTCTTAATTTATTCGAATTCAATGCGTTTGGATTCGCAATTAGTTATTACCCTTAAATGTCATTTTTTGAAATCTTCCTTCCCGATGAAAACGATAATATTCCTTGTCAGATTTAGAAAATGTAATGGACGGTCAAAATATACGTTACGGAACAGTAGAAGATATCTTATTGCCCTCGCCAAGGTTATATATTCTCACCAGCCGCCCCCTTGTGCTATTCCTCACTAGCATCTTGCGGCATGACCTAGATATATTCTTGTGTCACCAGATCAGATATCTGATATCTCTTGCTGAGAGCCTTCAAGCATTTCCATAGATTGTGTCAAACGATGTGTTACACTTTTGCTGTGACAGATCTCTATCTTTAGCTTCATTTGAATACCGTTCTAGTTATTGATTTGCAAGCCTTTCTGTTGCCAATGTTGGCTTCCGGCTCCCCCTCTACTGTTTCTGCTATTGAATCTGGCCCTCCTAATGACCCTGTAAATGATGTTCAACTTGAACCTCCCAATGATCCCAAAGCCACTTGCTGGGTTGACCCTGATAATCTTGGTGAGAATCGAGGATCTGACCATCCTGATAGCCAATCACTTTTCACTCTCAGATCTCCCAGATCTAACGGTCCTCCCAATGATTTTCAACAGTTTCCACCCAATGCTACTCGCTGGATTGACTCAGATAACCTTAATGAGTCCCTAAGATCTGACATCTCAATCATCACATACCGATCTAACCATCCTGACGGCCTTTCATACGCGACTGTCCAATCTGATCCTCCTGATGACCTTTCATATGCCACCATCCAATCTGATCCTCCTGATGATTCTCTAAATGGCGTTGACCCTGTCTTACCTAACGACACTCAGAATGACTCGCCGGTAGCATTTCATTTATTTGTTTGGATCATATATTTCCTGCGCATTTTAATTGTTATGTATTTTTCATTTTGGTCTTATGAAATACAGTTGTTAATGGAAGTAGTTTAGTCTATGTGGGCATGATACTTGTATGTGGCTGTGTTTCTGTTCCTTGTACAGTTTTGCATAACTGTCATGAATTTTTTTTTGTTGATAAATGGTGATAGCTTTAAAGTACCATTTGTTACCTTGAAAAGAAACCGGGAAAGTGAGTACCTTTTTTAGCTTTTAGTTTACTTGTATGTATAAACATATAACTGGTTTTCTGAATTTCTTTTTCTTAAGCTTTTAATGCCTTCAGTCTATCACTTGAGGAATTCATTTGGTGTACCATGCACGCTTTTCAGTATGCATTTTGCAATTTCTTTGAAAGGAGAAACTTTTTCTGTAGTTTATTTTGAACTTTTAAGCAGTTATGCTCCTGTCTCTGTTTCTGATTTGAGTTCTTAGTCTTGGTATTGGGTATTTCAATAAGTTTCTTATATATTTTTAACTTAATATATTTCTTTTCCCATTTTATCAATTAAAAAACACATGAAGACTTATTCTTTTGTTATTTAAAACCGTTCTCGATCTTTGCCTCTGATACAGACTGTGCCATTGGAAGTAAAGAGTCTGACTGCTGATGAGAATGAGATACAGGCAACAATTGACATTTTGAAAAAACAAGTTGCTGCCGAGCGCTCTCTTTATGTAAAGGTGCAGCAGTTGATTGCATAGAAGTAAAAGAATAACCTATCTTCACTGTGTCAAGTTTTAACTATGATATTTATTGATATTTTTTTCCAGAAGCGGATGCATGAAAACACGAGGAAAATGGTTGATGTTGTTAAAGATCTTGCAAAATTGTCGAAGGAGAGAAAAAGCAAGACCATTGAACCAGAAGCAAGGATAGATTGGTTGGCAAAGAGGCAGAAAGATGCCATTGATATGCATAATGGAATTAACACCAGCAATGGAGATGATGGTGGGGATAGTTCTCAAGAAGATGGTTATGCATCTTCAGCTATTCTTCTAGGATCAAGTATTGCAGTCAAGAACGCTGTCCGTCCGATTAAACTTCCTGAAGTTAAAAAAATACCTCCCTATACTACATGGATTTTCTTGGACAGGTATGTTAAGGTTTCTTGCTCGTAGGAATTATCCAACTTCCCTTAAATCTTTCCCTCGTTTTCTTTTTTTAATTTTTATTTTTAATTCAAGAAGATGATAATTGAGTAACCACGTTTATTTTTATTGTTCTATATGTGCAAACATTTGATTTGAAACGCATACAAAATTGTTTATCATAAACCAATTTGTTCCCCATGGATTTAAATACGTTTCTTTATTTTATGATTATTACGCAGTACATGATATTACGTAAACCATGTAGACTCATCTGGCAATGTTTTGAGATGGATCTTTTATTGATTTAAGCTGCTTGTATTGCGTCAGGACTTTTAGATAACATGTCGCCTGTGTTATATGAGGTGCAGCCTTCTCTTCTGTTGCCTTTGTGGAGCGTATCTCAAACTTTCATTTGTGAGCTTGTAGTTTAGATGAAGCATCTTTTTGCATCCTCAGCAAATACTTTTAGAAGGTGCATTCATTGATTAAATGAAATTTTGGTGGTCTTTTTGGAGATAATCTGCTTTTACGTCAACTTGCTGAACTGCAACCAACAGCTTTATTGCATTTCAGCCATGAATCAATTGCTTGGTTTTGTCTGAATTCTTTTCCATTTGTCTTTGGCCATTTAGCAAAAAGCAATCTGCTTTCTCATCATGTCTGTAATGTTCATTGTTAAGCTATGTGATGTAACACTGGTTGCAGAAATCAGAGAATGACAGAGGATCAGTCAGTAGTTGGTCGAAGGCGAATTTACTATGATCAGAATGGTGGTGAAGCTCTGATTTGCAGTGACAGTGAGGAAGATAATAATGAGGAAGAGGATGAGAAGAAAGAGTTCACGGAGTCTGAAGATTACATATTACGGTTAGGAACTTTTGAACTCTATCAGATTTTTTTTTTTATGCTAAAGAGAGATTTTAACTTGCATTTCTGCTTATATCATTATGCTAAACCTGAGGACTAATGATTTTCAATCTTTCTCATTTTGCTAGAATGACTGTCAAAGCATTAGGAATGTCAGATCCTATTCTGGATCTGTTGGCTCAGTGTTTCGCTAAAAAGCCTGATGACGTTAAGGTATCCTTTCAGGCTCAGAATTTAACAGGATAATTTAGATCCAATTATCTAAGGAAAACTGGTCATAGTGCAAATTGTGGTCTACCTCTTCCATTCAGTTCTTGCTAGCTTTACAGACATAATCCTATCGAGCATCTTGTGCAGGCAAGACATGAAGATCTTATTAAGGAAGAAAGTCGTCTGAGCTCGGCTAACAACACTAATGTTGATGGTTTCATAAGTGCATATTTCGACAAGAATCTTGAGGGAGCACTAGACTCATTTGACAATTTATTTTGTCGCCGATGTCTTGTATGCAGCTTATGATTCTCACTCAGTTTAAATAAAAAGCTAACTTTTGTTCATATTATGAGAGATTGTCTGCGTTTAATTTGGTTCTTAATACTTGCAGGTCTTTGACTGTAGATTACATGGATGTTCACAAGAACTGATATTTCCTGTAAGTGGATTGATTTTTTTGTTCTTTGATTACTGTGAATATCTTGGCCTTTGACGGGATTATGATGTGTCCTACTTTACTTAGGCTGAGAAACAACCTCCATTGAACTTGCCGGATCCAGAAAATGAACCCTGTGGCACAAATTGCTACCGGCTGGTATGTTGGGTTTTATTTACTTTTCCCAAGTTAAATGCTAGACAAAAATTGCCCAGTATATTGTTCCATTCCAGCATTTAAAGCATTTTCCTGTGACTAACTTGTTTAATGCATATTCTATCTGTACTTGATGTTTCTAATATATCTTCTGGTTGTGCGTCCTTTTGACCCTTTCTCACCAGTACTGTGATTTTCTTCAGGTCTTAAAATTAGAAGGTGATCCACTTAAGAAATCATCTGGATCTGCAACTTTCGAAGAAAATGTTTCACTGCCATCTGAAGCTGGTGCTTTGATGTCAAGAAAGAAGCACCTGGGGCCATCTGTAAAAGGGAGATCAAAATCTTCGCAAAGCGACTCTGGGGCTTCATCAAGTGCCAAAAATATATCAGAAAGCAGTGACTCTGAGATCAGACCCCCAACTGATGCAGCAAGCGCTCTGCCACCTAAGAGCAGCGCTGCAAAAGGGGGTACACAGAAGCGAAACAGCAAGAGGATAGCTGAGCATAAGCTAGTTGCAACAAGAAAGAGGCAGAAGAAAATGTTAGCATCTGATGGTGATCCTCCTTTGGATAATGGCAAACCTCAGCAGACTGAACCTTCTGATTTCCAACCAAATCATGTTATTGATGAACAAGTAATGCCTTCAAACAGTGAATCATTAAGGAAAGAGGACTTGGGGGATGAAAATCTGCAGAAGCAAGAAGTTAATGATGATAAGTCTTGGAAACCAATTGAAAAGGCCCTCTATGAGAAAGGTCTCGAGATTTTTGGCAGGAACAGGTTGGTGAATGAAACTCAACATTTGGTAGTTTTGTGTCTATTGTTTTGTCCAGGGTTTCAACTTTTTTCTGCAGTAAATTCTCCAAAATTCCTTGCACTTTGTTACTATTTATTATTTTCTTTTGTGTTCAAGTTATAGTTGAACTTTTGATCATTTATATGGGGAGATAATACAGATGGATAACATTTTTATATTTTAAAGGCCACGATGACTTTTGCCTTAACATGTAGGTATACCATGCTATCTGATATGCACGAATAATAAAGTTATGCCCTAAGGTAGTTTCCCGTCATAGCTTCTATGTGGACCTAACTTGTGGAAATTGTGAAAATTGTTTTAATTTTGTGAGTGCAGTTATTGAGTTAAAATTTAATTTGTTTCATTTATTGCTGGTACTGAATTTACATTGTTTATTATCATGTAACCATTTTACTATATGTATTTCTTTGTACTATCCATTGTAATAGACTGTGCCTTTGTTGCACAAAGTCTACAGACCATGAACAGTGTTTCAATTATTTAACTGTGCTTGATTTTTGTACAGTTGTTTGATTGCGAGGAATCTGATGACCGGCTTGAAAACTTGTTCCGAGGTCTTTTTATACATGAATAGCTATGAGAATAAACTCCTATCTCAAGATGAAGATGGAGCAAATGCTCTAATGGAGGGCTATTACAAGGTTGATGGCAAAGAAACCATGGCAAGCCCCCCTTGTCCAAAATTTTGCTTGAAAGTCTTCAATTTACCCTATGATGTTGCTTATTTTTCTGTTTGGAAAATGATCTAGGGTAATGGAGTCCGAAGAAGGTCAAGATTCTTACGCAGAAGAGGTAAAGTTCGCCGTTTAAAGTATACATGGAAGTCTGCTGGATACCATTCAATCAGGAAGCGGATCTCTGAGAGGAAGGATGCACCTTGTCGACAGTATAATCCGTGTGGATGTCAAGGCCCATGCGGAAAGGAGTGTCCATGCCTTGTAAATGGAACCTGTTGCGAGAAATACTGTGGGTCAGTCTTTTTGCCTTCCGAATACTCTCAATTAATTATTAACTGTAAATTTGATTTTATTCATGTTAGAGATGTGATACTCACTTACTGCCATTGGAAGGCAAAAAGCAAATTTTTGTTCTCAATCTTCCGAGTATGGACCGACATGAGCTTAGGATCTAAGGATTTTCATCAGTTGATTACAATTGTTGTTGGATCTGATAATGAATTTTTTTTTTTATAAAACTGAAAAGCCTGTTTGCTCTGCTCTAATATGGGACAAAAAAATGTTTTAATCAACACAGAAGATTATGTATATTGAAATTGGAATTTAAAATGCGACCTACCTTGCTGGATGTCCTTGCTGGAATGTGTTATGCATTATTCTAGATGCTTCTTGAGAAGCTGAGAGAATAAAATTTTAGCTTGCAGAGTTAATAAAGTAATAACAGAGAATAGGGCATGTTTTTTCGTTCTGATTCATGACTTCCAAAATGCTGAAGAAATTGGATTATTTTCATCACCTGGTTTGCTGCAGAAACAGTACCCTACATAAGATATGCTATGTTTGAATGATATCAATTTTTCTGATTTATGTTAGATGCCCAAAGAGTTGCAAGAACCGATTCAGGGGTTGTCATTGTGCCAAAAGCCAGTGTCGAAGTCGTCAATGCCCCTGTTTTGCTGCTGACAGGGAATGTGACCCTGATGTGTGCCGGAATTGCTGGATCGGGTAAATGTTGTGGTTGATTACCTCTTTTTAATTTTTTGAAAGAACCATATTTGCTTCATCTGTCATATAACATTTCGAGAAAGTTAAGGCATATGTAGCTCATTTTCCTTTAGATTTACTGTTAATAGTTTTTTTTTTTTAAAAAAAATTGTCAATAAATAGCTCATATGGAGTTAAACGGTTAGTTTTGGTAGAAATTCTTGGTTGAGGGATGTTGATTAGAATATTAATGAAATGCACACACTTTGTTTTGAATGCTTTTGCATGAAAGTTGAAGCCATCGAGTCATTATGTTTATGTGGATGACCTGCATATGGAGTATGTGTGTACCCTTTGTCTGTTTTTGTTGATTTACATCTTCGACCAGTTTCCATTGTGGAGGTCATATTTAACTTCAAATAGTGATGTTAAATAATTAGGTATTAGGTGAGCAGGTTGTAACGGAAGTTTCATGGTAACACAATGACTTAGGTGATCACTGATCACTTGAGTATCGATGGGAATGCTGAGCCACCTTTCTTGTGAATTCTTTATCCTTAAATTATACATTCTGAGGGTTATCAACTACCTTTTCTGTCTTCATGATTCCTCGTGAGTGTTAATATCTGCCTGTAGTCTTAATGGTCTGTTCTTCTTATAGTTGCTCAGTCAGTTTTCTTTTCCCTTGCAGTTGTGGTGATGGCACACTTGGGATTCCTTCTCAAAGAGGTGATAATTACGAATGCAGGAATATGAAGCTGCTTCTTAAACAACAACAAAGGGTAACATTTTTTTTGGAGAAAAATTGGAAATGTCTTTATATTTTTGTAGTGGTTATTTGCCCGGTTGTTAACTTAATTTTCGTCTCGTCTTTTACTTGTACCCAGCTAGTCTGTAATTATTTAGTCTGCAAAGGGCATCCATCAATTTGTGCTACTTTTCTCTTTCTCTTTGCCATTCTGATTTGGGGTGTGTTAAATTTGTAATTAGCAAATTTCAGAGAACTGTTATGGAAATGATTTTGGTTTAGGTTCCACTTCCTTACTGAAGTCACTTCAATACTGATCTGTTGAACAATTCTTACTCTCCAGAACTTCTCACATTTTAAAAAAATTATATTATATTTGCTTAATATCTTGTTTGAATTGGTCGTTTTCCATGTTGACGTGTTAATTTTTTATTTTTTTCTTTACTTTTGGGTATTTATTGCGCTTCTAATGATTTACTTGTTTTCTTCATTGTGTTTGTTTTATTTTGTATTCTTTGAAAAATTTGAGGTTGTTTTTAGATGTCTGACTTAGATATTTTGATGCTTGACAGCTCTGCGAATTTGTCTAGTAGTATTGCTACATATTTGTAACATACTGTAAGAATTATGTTAGATCAAAATTTTCATTTCTGTTAACTGTAAATTTCAAATTTATTCTTAGCATGTCATGTGAAATTGGTTTGATGAACTCCCGAGTCAAGCTGCTTGAATTCGTAGATGTTCCCTGCTGGCCATGTTCTTGAATATCTTTGGCCTACACTTGTTTTTATTGCTCTCTTTATATCTGTCATCGGGGTTTTGTACTGTATTCGTAGAGCACACTCAAGTGTATGGGCTTTGTCTGTCCATTTTAAAGGCATTCATGTGTTGATTATTACTGTAGGTTCTACTTGGCCCATCTGACGTTTCTGGTTGGGGAGCCTTTTTAAAGGTAAGTAATGTTAGAATACAGTGTTGGGAGTTCTATTTGATTTTTACCAGTCTCACCCTTATTTGCATTTCAGAACACTGTCAGCAAACATGAGTACTTAGGGGAGTATACTGGTGAACTGATTTCTCATCGTGAAGCTGATAAGCGTGGCAAGATATATGATCGTGAAAATTCTTCATTTCTGTTCAATCTCAACGATCAGGCATGACCTCTTACATTCCCTTGATAAGTACTCCCACTGTCCTAAAAAAAGAGTTCTGTATTACAACACGACTTCTATTTTGGGACACAGGGAAAACTTCATAATTCCTATTTTATTACAAAGTTAAAGATAATCACACACTTAAATTTTCTTTTTGCAGTTTGTCCTTGATGCTTTTAGGAAGGGTGACAAGTTGAAGTTTGCAAATCATTCCCCTGATCCAAATTGTTATGCAAAAGTAAGTGTCAACTTAACTTTTTCGTCCTCTCAATTTGTTCATGTTGATTTACTCTAATTCCTTGGCAGGTCATTATGGTGGCTGGAGATCATAGAGTCGGCATATTTGCCAAAGAACGTATTACAGCTGGCGAGGAACTCTTCTATGATTACCGCTATGAGGCAGACAGAGCTCCTCCTTGGGCTAAGAAGCCTGAGGCATCTGGAAGTAAGAAAGATGATGCTGGTCCTTCAAGTGGTCGTGCTAAGAAGCACACATGATTTAGCATTTAATATCTGTGATTCTTTTTCTGATAGAACCATCATTTCTTGAGTACCCGTAAACGCAACTTTCTATTTATTCCTTGGTGCAAGATTTTAGCTTAACAAATGATTTTTTGGCCCATTCTGATGCTGAGTTTGTTTGCCAAAGCGGGAAGCAAGTATAGGCTTACTGAATCAGTCAAGTCTTCTTGTTAGGTTAGATTTTGGTACAAAGGCAACTCATTCAATGTATTCTTTTGATATCTGAGAATGTTTATGGCCAAAAGCTTAGGAAACTTCAGACAAGAATATTTCTGCTTTGTTTTTCTGGATGATTTTGAAATTCGACATTAAATTATCTGAAACTTTTTATATTTCATGGTGTGGTATCTCGACCTGTGTTTTTGGATGCGTTGAGTTCTGAATGTTCTAGAATTTTTTTTATTGTCTCTGGTTTCATGGATTGTCTAGTTCAAGTAATAGAATGGTATCAAAGTCGGGCTCTGATTGTCCTGAAATTGTTTTATTTTGTTTTTCTGGTTTCATGAATTGTCTTGTGCAAGTGATAGAATGGTGTCAAAATTATAGTCGTGGTTTTTTGCTGGAGTTGCTTCATTATCCCCTTGCGTGATTTCCTGAGGTTGAATCTGTGATGTCGTGAAGCCATAGGATATTTGAATCTTGAACTGCCCATTGCGTTGATTTCCTGAGGTGTCTTGAAGCCATAGGCTTTTTGAATGTTGAACTGCTTTAGAGATTACTAGGTTAATGGTAGGTGAACTGCAACGTTTAGGCTGAGTCTTTACTGGTTTGAATCCTCTACACTACTAGTCCCAAACTAAGTATCCTCTTTGTTGAAATAAATTAATGCATCGTGACTCTTATAATCGGATGGCGGTAGTACTTAGTGGTGATATTTCTCGAGTTGGATTTGTGTTTTATGTTGACTGCCACGAACATTTTACGTAAGTTTTGTCTCTTTTACGCCATCTGTAGCTTTTATAACTCGGGTGTATGATCTACTTGAGTTGAAAACCAACTTCAATATTAAAGGGATGTTCCAAATTTGTTTTCAGTAATAGTTCGGCGGGTTTATAACTCTTCCCAAAATCTTTGGTCCACAATGAAGGGGGAGGGTATTGGATTTTTAAAAAATTAAAAGAATCGAATTATCATTGCCTTTTGGAGTTTGCGTGCTCAAAGTTGTCTTTGAATGATTAAATCTTTTTTTTTTCCTTTTTTTTTGTTACATTTCTTAACTCATTAGCAATTTAAGCGTGAAGTTATTTTGGAAATTTGACAGTGACACAATGCATTGGTGATCTCGCGGTAAGGGATTGATTTTCATATTTAGAAACCCAATAGGAAAACATTAGGGATATAGTTCTTTATGCCATCTTGTCGCACCTTCTTAATTTGCAAAAGTATTCAAGGTTAGTTGCGGTTTGCAAAGTCCCGATTAGAAATTAATTGGATTTGGATTGAAAAAGTTGGTTATTATTCTAAAAGAGGAACTCGGTTATTTTTGGGACCAAAAAAAATAATAGTAATAAAATTTTTGACATAAATACTGAACCTCCATAACCACTAACTAGAGGCAGATATAACGAACGACATTGTGATAAATATAGACTCGTCCCAAAAATATACTACTTATTACAGACAACAGCTGAAACGCCACGCACCTCAAACGGCTTACCTAGTCAATAAATAAGGTACCATCAAACTCGCTCACGATATTTGTTCAGACTTCAAAGATATTCTTAGATAATCGCGAACTCATTCATCTGAAGCTCAGACATCATCGTTATTTGGATCTCGTCGTCCTCCACTTTATTTCTTTTACCCACAAAAGTGGAAATCACAGAATGATAGAAAAAAAGTAAAAGCAACTGGACAAAAATTTGTAACCATCGAAACTCGACAGTAGTAGTATTTGCATGAATAGCACTCATAAAAATACCAATTCAAACTAGTAGCTTTTATAGTCTTTTTACCCTTTTCTTCTTTTCACATTTGACAAATCAATTTTTATTAATAGTGCTTTGGTATCTTTGTTCATAGTATCACTGTCAGCAGCATATCTTGTGTGTCGCATGTTTGGCGTGTTTTGCGGAAGGCCTTTTGTCCCAAAACAGTATGAGGTACCCCAGAACCATCACCAGCTGCTGCAACCGAGCAACTCTCAAATCCTCTGGGAAAAATGGGATTGATTTCAAATCTCATGCTCTATTAGTCCTACTTTTCCTCTGCTCTGTTTTTCCCTTCGTCCCTTGTAGTGCTTGCTCCAATGGTAATTGCCAGGTACATTTAGCTTTCGTTTGCTTTCTCTCTACTTACTTTACTATAATTTTCATTCATCCGTATGCAAGATCCCTGCGAATTTGATTCCGTTTCCAGAAATTTAACTGATATTTTTGCCAAATTTGCAGCTTCTGGACGCTTGTGCCACTCCAACTGATTGTGGGCCTGGCTTGTATTGTGGAAACTGTCCTGCAGTTGGAAAGACTCAACCTTTTTGCACAAGAGGGCAATCCGCTAGCCCTTCTTCAATTGTAAGATTAATTTCACCTGTCTCTTTACTCATTTCTGTTCCTAATACATCAAATAAAGTGTAGATTTTTAGTTTTTTTGTTTCCCTTTATTGGGGTTATAAGTTAATTTCTTTTGTTAGATCAATGGGTTGCCTTTCAACAAATACACATGGCTGGTGACCCATAATGCATTTTCGATTGTGGATGCACCGTCCAGGACGGGTGTTCAAAGAATTACATTTTACAACCAAGAGGACTCCGTAACAAATCAATTGCTGGTATTTGCTTCCCTCTTTTTCTTTTTTTTTTCCACCAATAAAAATAGTTATGCTATAATGCCACTGCTTTATATACCTTGATTTTGACATGAGGGGTATTTGTATTTGAGTTGCCTTTTATAGAATGGAGTGAGGGGATTGATGTTGGATATGTATGATTTCGAGGATGATATCTGGCTCTGTCACTCGTTACGTGGGCAATGCTATAACTTCACAGCCTTTGTAAATCTCCTGACCTATCCTCTTTTCTTTTCTGCTTTAGTTTAGTGATTTTGTTTGCCTCAGAGTTAGTTGTTTGTTAAGATATGGTGTTATGCATTTGTCTCAGGAACCTGCAATTGACACTTTAAAGGAAGTGGAAGCATTCTTGAATAATAACCCGAATGAGATTGTCACCATCATAATTGAGGACTATGTCCATTCCCCCAGAGGATTGACCAAAGTATTCGCCAATGCAGGGTTGGACAAATACTGGTTTCCCCTTTCTAAGATGCCTAAAAAGGGTGAGGATTGGCCCTCTGTCACCGACATGATAAAACAGAATTATCGGTTGGTGGTTTTCACTTCTGATTCTTCGAAAGAGGCAAGTGAAGGAATTGCCTACCAATGGAAGCACATGGTGGAAAATGAATGTAAGAATTGCATCATTTTTGTTCAATGTGAATTTGGAATGTATTGCTCTTTACATCGGTTATGTGGTACGTTTTCAGCTGGAGATCCTGGTGTAGTACCTGGTTCGTGCCCAAATAGGAAGGAATCGAAGCCACTCAATTCGCATACCGCATCTCTTTTCCTGATGAATTATTTTCCAACCATTCCAGACCAGAATGAGGCATGCAAGGAGCATTCGGTTTCCCTTGTTGATATGGTTAATACTTGTTACAAAACAGCAGGCAATGTCATGCCTAATTTTGTGGCTGTGAACTTTTACATGGTACTAAACTTTAACCTGGAAATGTTTGTAAATTTGTCTAGTTTAACCAAAAAAAGAATTGTCAAGTCCTGTACTTAAGCATTCTAACATTGTATTATGCAGCGGAGTGATGGTGGAGGTGTCTTTGATGCCATCGATAGGATGAATGGCCAAACGCTTTGCGGATGTCCTACTATCACTGCCTGCCAGGTTTGTTGGCCTATCCTTGGACCAAATAGGTCATTCATTATCCAAACACAGAAACAATGATTCCAATGAAAATGCCATCATTTGTTTTCATTTGATTGTAAACATGTTCAAAGTATCATTCCTTCAACTATTTAGTTGTAACATTTAGAAATGTATCAGGCGGGAGCACCATTCGGAAGTTGCAAGCAGATTCCTACCTCTAACACAACACAAACTTCCACCGATCCAGCTGGAAGCTTTTCTGGGTCTGTTCAATTGATTGGAGCAGCTTCGACTATCCAGTTATCGAGCCTTACAACTGTATACTTGTACACTGTTTACATCACATTACTGCTGTTATAGCATAGAAACGAGTAGTTTTAAGGTAGTAAATTTATTAGCTAAACCCTGAGTCATTGGCTTCTATTTAGTTGTTTGTAAAAGGCATTGGACTTAGTAATAGTATAGTGCGATACTGCATCTTAGAGTGCCATACTACGCTTCTGAGACAAAGATTTTGTTACGGATCGAGAAGTAGGTATGTAAAGCTCATGTAGCCGAGGATGAAATGTACAAGAATGTGGTAATGCAGGATTCTTGCATGCCTCATCATTTGTCCTAGGTGCGCTTTCTGCAGACAGGTTTCCCTCCCATACAACAAACTACATATGGGACATGCTTGAATCTTGTATTCCTGCTAAAAACCGTTACTGCTTGTACCATCAATCAAGATTAGGTGTTTTCCACTTCAAGTTAGTGTTAAGCAGGCAAGTTTTTTCTGTCTATCTGTTTGACTTCTGCTTACTGTTATATGAATTGATGCCAAGGAAGAAAGCTTGTGTTCAAAATTCAATCCACAAAAGAGTGCCTGTGTGTATTGGATTTGTGTTTTCTGCGCTCTTAAAGGAGCAATAGCTGTCTACATTCTTAACACAAGTGTCTTATGCATCGGATGCTGTGTATCATGTCTACTATTCTTTCCGTCCTAAAATGATTGACTTGAACATAAGATTACATATCCTCAGGGGCCATAGACAAGCTGCACATGCTGCCACCAAACTTTATGCATCATTGCGACCATCCAAGGAAATTACTGTCACCATTATTATATCTTTACTAGAGCACCATTTGATAAATTAACACGCATAAAAGAATTTGGACCCAGAAAAGAAAGACAGGCCAAATTGGCCCATCCTGTAGCAGGGAAAACAATATTTTCCAACCAAGATAAATTTCTAGAAAGAAAAGACACCAATTTAACTGAGTTACAGATACTTAGTAGTGATTGCTAAAGGAATTGAGACATTGCTGCAATTCAGAGTTGGATCTTCCGAATTCTACAATTCAAGGCAACTGAATCTCAACAGATACATACATGTAGTGAAGAGATTCTTGATAAATCATTTCATTATTCAGAAATTAATCACAATGCAGTTTCAAATGTCCATTCATACATTCCAAATCTTTTTTTTTTTTTTTTTTTCTCCATGAAAGAATCACTTGTAATCTGGTTTCTTCAGGCACAAGGTGAATTGACCTGAAGAATAATGACCAATTCGGAAAACTAATCTGTACAATAAACGGATCAAGGCTTCAACTCAAAACACAGGCCACATAGAGAGCTTCTGAATGTCCAATGTTCCTTTGGGTTGGATTTGCAGGGCAGGGCTAATCGTTAGCAAACCAACAAAGCAGTTCAGCGGCACCCTCAATCCCCACACATTGATCGACTCCAGCTTGCGACACTTATTTACGAGGATCAGTAGTCCCTCTTCAGTCACGTGCCGACAGCCCCAGAGCACGATCGTCTGAAATTGGATTACACGGATGGACAAACAAGATATAAGTCTATCCATGTTCAAGTGAACATGGATTGAACCAAATGATTCATTAAACCACCTATAAAATGCAGGAGAAAGATGGATGAATTCTGTTTTAAGTACTGGATGATGCAGAACCTAGTACATTGCATTACCTTCAAGTCTCTACAGCTTTCTGCAACAGCAAATAATGATATATCTGTGATGAATGTACCACCAATATTCAAATGTTGTAGAGAAGTAGCTCCAGATACCTGCTTAAACAAACCAGTTAGATGAATACTAGTACTAATAGCGTCGGAAGAAAATGATATGCATCCCAAGTAAACAGGCAGCAATTCAGAGGTGGATTTTGTTCACCAGGTTAGAAGTTCAATAGCCATGATTTCGAAATACCTGGCAATAATGGCGAAAAATTTGGGAGAAAATGGTACATACCAATTGAACAACACCTCTGTCTGTGATTCCTGTAGAACCCCAAAGGGAAATGGAGGACAAATTGCGGATGCACTTTGCGGTTGATAACTGGAAAAGTCCACGGTCAGTTATATGGCAGCCCCATCGACTCATTGAACTGTAGATATAAGAACTCTATCAAGCAAGAAATTTAGAGAATAAAACGGAAGTTTTGCCACTAATAAAAAGCAAGTTCTTATGAAGAAAGTAAACGCCCGGTTCAATGATTAAGAAACCTTTTTTTTTATCACTAGCAGCATTCATCGTCATTATGATCACAGATTTTCATTCATATCGCAACATATTCTAGTCGTATCAACAACGATGCCATGAGTAATTTTCTGCGGGATCAGGTTTACAAAGGAAAAAGCTCCAATTTTCAGTCTTAATATAATAGAAATTGATGATACAGACTGACACAGTATCACTGGCAATTCACTTCTTGCCTTCCAGAGAAAGATCCAAACCCTCAACCAAACTCAGGCAAATGTAATTAACCAAGTCACTTCAATTACTTTGATACAAGGAAAAAAGAATTTGCAAAAACAGAGATTTTAAGAGAAACGCACATGTCGAGCTCCTTGAGACTATATGCAAGGCGAACAAGGCGAGTGGTGGAATCATCATCCATTTTCCACCCAGAAAAGCTCAGCTTATCCCTCCTCGCCAGTGATTCCTTCACTCCCTGCCTCCATTTCCGGCAAACCCCGCTGGCCCTGCACAAATTTCACCCCCAAAAAACAGAGGTCAGATTGTCATCCTTTTCCAGAGAAGGTAAGACTAAAACTTATGGGGGGGAAAAAAAGAGTACCGGGCTAAATCTTTGAAGCAAGTGATGATAGTAAAGATATGAGCCAGCAAGTCAATCGGGAGCCGATCAATCTCCGGCTCTTCCACCTCCATCAAAGCTTGCTCCTCCTCCGCCTCTTCACCCATCATTTTCTTCCCCCGACCCAGATGTTCTTTTCCCACCCAAGCAATAACAAAACAATATCCAGCTTTGTTTACAGCTTTCCAAGAACAATTAAAACTGATTGAGAGCCCACCAAAACTATTAGTACTATTATTTAAAAAATTCAAACCAAGAACGCCCGACGAAAACTGTGAGAAAAGTAGTAGTAAAAATTAGGCAAAGGCTAAAACCGCTAAAGAGTCTCACATGTATGAGTGGCGCTTTCGAAATACGTACACGTCAGTTAATATAAAAGCAGAGTCGGAAATGAACAAAAGAAAGCCACATCATGTCCAAAAAGTGTGGTCATCTTTTCGTCATGTAGCCGAGTTGGCTCAGCTCAGAAAGAATCTTCATTTCCATTGACTTTGAAATGTAGTGTATTTCTTTTTAGTTTTTGATGGTAGGCTAATTATTAACTATTTATTACTATTCCATATGTAGAATAAAACTTTTTCGGCTTTAAGTTGCGTGATAAAGAGAGCTTTGAAGTTGAACTAGTTTGTTAATTACTTTGATTAATTCTGCTGATTATTATTATGAACATGGTAGGATGATTTTCTTTTTTCGACATTCATTATTTGTATATGTTCATCGGTTTTTAACTAACATACTGCATTGTCGCTCTTGTCCTTCTTCTAATGTAATGTTCATTTGCAGACAATTAGCACAGCATTGGATTTTGTGGTTAACATTTGTTTTGGCCCTATTGAAGATAAGAGTATAAATTGTACCCATCACACTAATTAATGGGATAATATATTAAGTTGGGTTCCTGAACCAGCTGGATGTATATACTTCAATTTTTTTTTTTTTACAAGTTTTCTTCTCTTTTTTTTTTTTTTCTTTCTTTTCTTTGTGTGTCACTTTGATATGATTCTCATCACCAAAAGTGTACTCACTTTCTGACCACAAATATTATTATTATTATCATACTCCTATGTTTTTTTGGTCTTTTTCTCTGTAAGGACAAAATACCAAAAATACTGCAATTACTAAAATTATGCAACTATGTAATTCCTTGTTCTAAAACTACTATACTGCCCTTGTTTAGGGTCTTTGTTCCCAATCTCCTAGGTACAAATGCTCATTTGCTGAATTTGGTGAAATCAATGCTAACCTTTATTTGAAAAATGGGCTCATATTATGATTTACTACAACAGCATATTGAGACATTAAGCTAAGAGTTTAGGAACAACAAACTTTACTAAACATAAAATACAAACATTAAAAAATTGTTTCTTATGCGATCGGAATTGTAAGTATTCCCTCACCTTGTTGTTGAGTTTGCAAATACTCCTTCCAGTTCTTATTATAAAATATTTTGATTCTGTCTTAAGTTTCATCTAGGATATCTCTTTCATTGAAATAAAAATCTTAAAAATATTTTCTAATAATTAAGAGAAAACAACGAATTTGAAAATATATTTTTAAGAGTTTTTCTCAATTAAAAAAATAAATATTTTAGGTGAAACCTAAAACAAAATCAAAATGCCTTATGATAAGGACAGGAGGGAGTAATACAGTATAATTTAAAAAAGTCTGATTCTATTTCATTTTTTTGGCGTTGTAGGTTACATTTACACAAAGCGTCTAAAAGACTAAAACATGTCCTGATTATTTAAGATACGAATCACATAGATTTTTCCGATAAAACTCTCGTAATAAAACTCGCGTGATATACTTTCACAATTTTCATTAAAGTGCTAGCTGTTCTTTCCAAAAAATAAATAAAAAGAAATAGTGCTAGCTGTTGGGTCAAATGGACTCGATACAGTTTGGTTTTTTGTAAGAGGCTGCTTGTTGCCATTCATTTGGGAACCAATTTGTTAGAAATTCCCATTCGTGTCTAAATTTCATTTCAATTTGTTAGAGAGAGGCCCGACAGTTGAGAAAAAAAAAAAGAAAAGGCTCATATTCAGTTTTAAGTCCAGTCTTATTGGAGGCCCAAGGCATATCCATTGGCCATATGAATTTAATGGCCCCAAAAGGATTGTCAAGGAATCGAGTAGTATTCGAACAGCTTGCGAATAGTTTGGTCAAAGCTTGACTTGGAATCGGTTTTGGTCGAATTCGAGCCGAATTCGAACAGTTCGATTAGATAAACGAGACGAACACGAGTATCAAAATGTTTGATTTGAGAGCTCGTCAAATCTATTCGAGCTTATTACAAAGTATTTTATTTTTTTCTGAATAATATATAATCTAGTATGGACACTTTTATTTGTATTCCCTAAAAATTATTGTCATTTATATTTTGAAGATGTGATAATGGGATACACATTTTTTTTTATTTATCAATAAATTTGCTCATAAAACACATATATTGAACATGTTAAATTAAAAATGACAGATATTAAAATTTATTCGAGCTCAATATTTATCTAACACTAAAACTTGAGCCAATCGAACCAAACACAAACTATTGATTTTTATTTCGAGCTAAACTCAAACTTCAATTTAAATGTTCGATCGAATTCGAATTCGAATACGAGCTCCAAATTTTTTGTCGAATTCGAGCTCGAACGCATGACAGTTTGGACTTGACTCGGTTAGTTGACGGCCCAATACACATTAGATACTCCATCAAGATCAAAATAATTACTCTTGTTTGAATTTTCACAATGCAATTTTTATACTGAACAAATTACAATTTAAACTGAACAAACATTTGTCTAACGCCATTCTAACAGACTAGCTCTCTGGCTAGCTATACATAGTCTGCGCTTTTTAGCAGAGCCGTGATTAGCATTCCATGTGAAAGTCGGAGCCAAAGCAATTTTTAGTCTATTGTATCATACTACATGCTACCCTAAAAATGTAAGATGCACCACCAGAAATCTGAGCCGTAGATCTTGATCTAAAAAAAACACCCCGTAGATGAGAATACTAGATGTGAGATAGATAATCCATAAGCATTATTCATCATTGTCAATACGAAAAGAAAGTTTCTGAAAATGCAACAGCACAAGTACAAAAAAGGCAAGATGTGACACGTCATCCACCAAACCCCCCCAACATTGGAAATGTACAATTTCTCCCAAAAATTTTCACCCCAACAAATCAATCAAGAGATCTCATGATAATCGGAATTGCAAAATGATCTACGCCCTTCATTTGTTGGTAATTGTGGTCCATGATTACGCATCCCTAGGCACTCACTTCATCATCCCATCGACACGTCAATTATCCAAAAGCTGTGAAGACTTTAGAGGGTTTTTTTCTTTCTTTTGCTTGCCGTTGAGAAATTGGCATTGAATTTTATTGACGCTTGATGATGGAGACGTAGATACGGCTGATGGTCTTGCATGTAGGGTAGTAGATTTTTAGACTAAAATAGGTCCAAGATATGAGATGATCCTCCTCTCCAGTGATAAATTGCTACTCAATTGTTTAATCCTTCACTTAAATGGTAATTATGATTCGAATTCGAATGATAACATGAATATATAGTAATGACTAAAATATTTATCAAAGTTCTTCGCCTTATGAAATGATTTATCCAGCTCGAGTCATCTTATTAATCAGAACGGTAATTTCGTGTATACATTACGTAAAATTATAATTCAAATATGATGTTATAAGATAACATATTTCTATAATATAGTGATATAATCTCGTGTTTAGACTCCTCTCATTATGATAAGGAAATAAATAAAAGTAATTACTAACAAAGCTCCTATCGTTTGTCCTAAACTAATTATTCAGTTATTGATGGAAGGAGTACAAAATTAGTATTGAGAACGTGAATTGTTCCCATGAATCTGCAATTGGTTATTAAACTAAACTAATAGTGTGCATGTATTGATTCCTGGATACATTCATTTCTTTCCAAAGAATAGCACAACGTAAGTAGGTTCATATGCCATAAAAAGAACTTGGCCCCAAGTGTGTTTTATTTTTCGTTTGCTTCTTTCAGCAAACGACCAAAAATTGAAGGTCTTCATTGTGATCGAGTTCCAACTTCCTACCATTTATTTGCCATCCATTTTGAACGTAATTGTTGAGTTGTTTGCCCTATCAAATTAGTGATAACTCAGGTATATTTTTTTCTTCAACTATGTATTAAGTAATAGGGGAAATAAATAATAATAACTCTGTAAAACGACATGTAACTAGAAGTAACGAAACACAGGAGGTGGCCTTCTCAATTCTTCTGGCCCGTAGTCGTGTTGCTATTATGAGGCACCCTCGTCAACTCACTACTCATCAAGGAACCCGAACCACCGTGAGATCTCCAAGTACACAGTACAATCATCTAAGGATTATCACCCAATGGAAAATGTCCTAATAAATGCCAAAACTACTTGCTTTCCCAATCGCCTTAATGAGACAAAAATGAAGAATTTTATGTTAGTAATAAATATACCATGATCAATTGGGATAGTGTTACACACATTGGCTTCTTTTGAGGCGTAATATGTACCCACATGGGCCACAAATTATGTGGAATTAAGTGGTAATCACGATATTATCCTCATTTTTTTTTAACAATAGAAGAAGCAAAATGTCTAAAATCAAACTAATGCATTGCAAGGATATGCTATTTCAATTAAATTATGTTCCAATTATGATTTAACGTTTTTTGATGGTGTTTATTTGGTGTTGTTTCAAGACATCACAATCTTTCTGGCCCTTGTGCAGCCAGCAAAACAAGTGATATGCCAATAATTAATATAGGTAAATCTACTACGTTTACTGTAATAATTTGTAAATTAGTTTCGTCTACTGAATAATTCATACAATTCAATCACTTGAAATAAAAAGATCAATATGATTTCTATCACGTACATGATTGTCTTGTTGCAATATAACCTTTACGGACAATTTATCACTTCAAATCGGATCAACCTCCTAAAAATAATGTGTATGTGTACCTTAAATTTGTTTCCATATTTAGAGTAATTATTTCATTTATCAAAATATTCATCAATCACATTAATCACGGTTATTGACGCTGAATACAATGAGTTAGGAAAGAATGGTGTGAAAGTGTGAAACTAAAGAACTCTCTACAAACCAGGAGCAAGGCACAAAGGAAGGGTACGGAGCCTAAAGAGTAAAGATGGGAAGACTGACCCCTCTGGGATCCTGTGGACTGTGAGAACCAAACAAAATGGTAAAAAACAAGCGAACAAAGGAGGAGGAGTTAAAAGTAGTAGTGTATTGCACGTGCGGTGTGGCACAAAGTTGCCACCACCTGAACTACTTACTACTCTGGAATAAATAATTTTTTTAACCCCAACCTCCCACACTCTCTTCTGACAACATTTTTCACTTTTGGCAGTGAAAAAAAGAGAATTCCACAGGGAAAAAAGGGTCTGTTTCAGTAGTAAGAGACTGTTCTCTGTTCTCTGTCTGTACTCTGTTTCTGGCTTTGCTCTTTTTTTTTTGAGTTCCCAGAAACCAAAAGTGGACTGGTCAAACTTCTGTCCTTTTTTTAACCTTTCTGCCTTTCTCCTTCTACTTCCCCCTCCATCATCATCATCCTCCTTCATTATTCGTTTTTTTTTTTTTTTAAATACTTTGACAGTTGGATACTTGGATTCATATCTCCCCCGCCCACAAATTTATCTCACTTGGTTACCTATCTTTTTTCCTTTTTGAACTTTCTTGAGTTCCCTTTTGTTCTGTATCGGTAGCTTTTTCTTTTTTGCCCTTTTCCTCTTTGCCAAAGCAGCAATTTGGCTGTTCTGCTTAAAGCCTGCATTTTAATCCGGAATAATGAAGAACCTGTAATCTGGGCTTAATTTGTTTTGTGAAGAGGTGAACTAATTAACTTTGTCTAATGGCGAACTTGTACGGCGCAGCCAACCATTCATCTTCTGCCTCCCATGATGAACCGGATGATTTCTCACTTTTGTTGCACCAGATTATGCTTCGTTCATCTTCTTCTGCATCATCAACTTTCATGGTTCAGGAAAGCAAGGAGGTTGAGTGTATTAGGCCCAGTTGGGGTCCACCTGGAAATCAAGATTGTGGGCTCCAGTCTGTGGTTTCTGGTTCTGCCCGGCTGCCTTTACCGGAGGTGTCTACCAGCGGCGGCGGCCTCCGGTGGTCTTCCGTTGGTGGAGTTTTTGCTGCCCCGGGAACTTGTTTTCAGGAACGTGCTTTGAATGTGTCTTCTTCCTCTGTTTCTGTTGGAACTGTAGACAATGATCTTAATGACTATGACTGTGAGAGTGAGGTAGTTTTCCGGTTTCTGTTAAAGTTTGATCTTCTTTTTTCCAACGTTGTATTTTATCGATTTTACAATGCTGAGTAATGGGTGTGTTCGAAAGGGTGTTGAAGGGGTGGTGGATGAGGCTATACCAAAACCAACTAAAGCCCGTAATTCGTCTAAGAGAAGCAGAGCTGCTGAAGTTCATAATTTATCTGAAAAGGTTGTGCTATACTGAAATGCTTTGTTTTTTTATGGATACATTGCTTTAGTTCCTGGGAATTTGACATTTTTCTTAAATTGGACAGAGGAGAAGAAGCAGGATCAACGAGAAAATGAAGGCATTACAGAATTTGATACCTAACTCAAACAAGGTACGCTCGAATCAGTTCCTGTTTTTTTAATTAGGTGTTCTCATATGCTTGTTTCCATAGGGCTACTTTCTTTGATTTTTCAGTTAATGAAAACCTATCACCTGTTTTTTAATAGTGCTCTTTCTTATGTCTGAATCAGACTGATAAGGCTTCGATGCTTGATGAGGCCATTGATTACCTCAAGCAGCTTCAGCTCCAAGTTCAAGTGAGTTGTGTTCTGTTTTGATTTTGTATTGTGCTTCTCTTAGCTTTGGTTTCATTCATCATGTATGTACCTGGGACAGAGGGAGTATATTTGGTTTTTTTTAAAAAAATTTTTTTTTTTTTAGTTTTGCTTATCATCGAAGGCCATGAGCTTGATTTGTTTAGGTGTCTTTACGAAATATTTATGTGCAATTCGATTCTTCTCACTACTTTCTAGTTTTACCTTGTTCCTCTGCATAGTTTTGTTAAATTGTTAATTGCCATTTCTCATTTTGAAGTTATGCTGCAAGCTTGAAACTGGACAAATTTCTTTGTTTTTTTCTTCTCTAACTCATCCTGATATGCATGTGCTATTTTGTTACTCCGACTCAAGTATTGTGGTTGTGAGGCCATACCATTTTGAAGTATCAATTCCTCTATTAATCCCATAGCTCAAACGGTATATCTATTAATTTTAATCTCTATGGCAGTCGTTGCTGAAGCTGTTTAGTCAAAAGTGAACTACTACCCTTTTTTTTTTCCAACTTCTTGATGGTTCTGAGTGCTGACCTCCTGTCGTGGCATTTAGCTTCTTACTGCTAACCTAGTTCTAAAAGCTAAATTCTTCTTCAATTTACTGAAATGTGAGTAGTTATCATTGTAGCAGCGCCAAATTGGTTCTGCAGGCCACGGTTTCTTTTCGTAGTGCCTGTAGATCAATAATATCGGGCTCCAGTGAGTAACATCTGTCTGCTAGCAGCAATCATGATTGCGAGTCGTTTTTGTATGCGTAAAAACTTTTGTCTGCGTATCGATACTAATTCCTGAAACTAAAAACTTTTGTCTGCGTATCGATACTAATTCTTGAAACTAAATATTTCTGCAGTTGCTGACCATGAGAAATGGTTTGAGCCTTTATCCCATGTGTCTACCTGGAGTTGTACAGCCAAACCAATTGTCTGATGTGAAAATAGGTCATGAGGGAAACAAATCCTTGAATATGGATTTTGCAAATGCACTTCCTGTAGACTCAGTTACACCTGGTAATCTCATGTTCAGTCCACCAGAAAATTACACCAGCCACAAGCCGACATCAATTGTCCATTTTTCCCAGCTAAATGACTCAGCCTCAGGACATTCACCAGCACCGGAATCAGTTATCAATTCTCATGGCCAAGGGGTTTTCCAGTTCTCATTACCTGGATCTTCTAATGTATGTACAAATGCCACCTTTTTGTAGCATAACAGTCAAAATAGTTTTTATAATGATAATATCTACTTTGTCTCAGAAGGGATTTTTCGTAGAGGGAAAGTTACCTTGTCCCCAATCTGATCACGGCAACCAGGACATTCTTCGAACAAAGTCTCTAGGTTGGCTGTTCTATTGACGTAGCTCTTTTGACCAGCTTGTAAAAATTTTACTCCTTTTCAGCTAAATAATAATGATGATTTGGTTGCATGTGGCAGAAAATTACATGGGAACTGAAGCTGCTGGATCATTCAGTTTTAACACACAAGCATCTAGTTTGGACGAACATTCTCTGGATGTAAGTGTTCTTGGAAGAGAAAATGCAGCTGGAGTGTTCCCGTCCAATCAGTTGGAATGTGGAAAAGTCCCGAAGTCACAAGGGGATGGGTAACTTCATCAAGTAGACCGTTGCTTCTGCTAGACGGTAAAACGGTAGTGACAATATAGCAGAGTTGAACTCCATTGAATGGTAATTCTGTCGAAACAGATACTAGTCGATGAGTATAGGTCTTGTTAGAACGAGAGTGGCATTGAAGAAATCGAAGCCGCTAATTATTTGACTCTGCTTTCGTATGAGAGGGTTGATGCTAAGACTTAGCTTTAGGTTTAATTCATCGGTACAGGCCATTCCAGCATTGACTATGTATAAAATTTATAATGTAGAACTTGTGAAAAACCCCTAATCCGCTTATTTAACTAATCTTGATGGCTCTTTCCGCCACTACTTGTAGTGGAACTGGGGAATTCTTGGCTGCTTGGTTTGGTTTCTTGAGTGATTCACAAGATGCGCAAGAGTTTTGCTTTTCGGGATGGACCTATCCCGCCTCGAATTCCTACTACCTAGTAGGATGTATGCTAAAAAAAACCTCATTACTCCGTTCCAATTGATGATGGTGGGGAATCCAACATCAACAAATTGATTGAATTTGGCGGAAATCTAGCTAGCAATGACAATAAGCCTCTACCATTTTTGGAAAGGATGACCGCAAGATCCAGGACAAGTGGTATGATATGATGTTAAAACATGGGCTGACACGCAATTTGCTAGTGATCGTCTATGAGTTGTTATTCATCAGTTAACAAATGTCTCTTAGAATTGTATATCCGATTGATTACTCACTCCACATTCCTAGAAAAAAACACCAGTATAATGGTTTGGCTCTTAACCTTTGGATTTTGCATTGATTAATTTGCAAATATTGAAAAACAAATCATTATTGAGCTACACTACAAATACAAAGTTTCAATGTCGAATCCTCTTAGTAGGATTGATTGAGCTATTCGCAATCAGCAGTGTCGTTGCTTACAATTGGTGACTCAGACAGAGTTTGTTTTTGGAGTATATGTCTCACAACAAGGTCTTTTTCAGTTTTTGACTTTATCAAAAGAAGATTTATCCGAAATGAATAAATATATGAATGGTTGTTACAAAGATGCATCTCTGTTTGTGGTGCTGGGGATTTCCCCTTTCTCTTTTGGAATAATGTCACTATATTGTGTTTGTATGTGAATACTAGCTTACAAGTTTTCCCTAACCATGTAAGTTAGATGCCTTAATTTCAACATGTATCCCAATGACTTTGAAAGTTATATATACTTATTATTACTTTACATGTCCTAAATAAATAGTTCACGTCAAATTTTAAACTCGAAACAAATTTTTTGAAATAGAAGTGGTATTATCTCAATTTATCTTCAAGGTAACTTGTTTTCCACTTCGGAAAAAAAAAAAAGAAAAAGTAAAAACAAGTTTCTTGTTATTGATTCACACAAGGATATATTACAGCATTAAACTTGAAATAAACTACTTTATATTTTTTGAGACAAAGATAATACTATATTATTGATTCACACAAGTTCATTGTTATTGATTCACACAAGAATATACAACAACATTTTATGTAGAGGAATATTAATGTAATTCCATTGATATTCCACCCATGATCTAAAAGTCGATACACTTTTTTTTTGCCATTAATGTAATCCCTCCCAAAATTTAAGGCCTAAAATACATTTCATAGAACATTTACGCTTTATACTGTAATAATCAGTATGTTCCTCCCGACATAATTTTACCTGCTAAAGATTGTCATGTAGTAGATAAGAGTTTGCCTATGTTTGTTTGGTTTTTTGATGGTTTTTTCATTTTATTTTAATAATAATTGTCTCATCCCATCATACATTTTTACATTTTCAATACATATTTACATTTACAATATAAAAAACACACATTAAAAAAATGAAACAAACATACCCTTAATTTTTTAATAATTAAGCCTAATAAACTGTCCAGGTGAGTGGCACGTGCAGTTAATGTTTAATCAGATTTAGTAGTATCAAACTTTTATAAATTTACAAAAATACGTGTACCACCAGGAGATGAGGACAAGAAGAGTTCCGGTACACCTTGGCTTCTTTTACCCGCCACCAGATTTGCCCCAACTTCCAGCCTCCCGTCCCGGCCGCCACGGCGGTGTACACACACACTCACACAGTGCGCTTATTTAGCAGCCGTATATACAACTTTATCATCCATCACTACTACTATATACTCGCACGACTTAGTACTAGTAGTACATTACAACGAATTAAATACTACAAGAATAATTGTCGTCCTCTGACGTCTCTCAACAACCCACAATTTCTTCTGTCTATATCTCTATATATCTTCTTACGCCGTGTTTTCCAAGGTTTCCTCCGTTTTGCTGACTTCGTGTTTTTTTTTTTTTTAGTATTTTACTCCCTCACTCACACAATCATACTATCAAGCACATTGCAGACGAATAAAGATCGAGCCCTAGGGGAAATGGCGACGGTTTCGAATGGTCCGAACAATCATCATGAGTATCGGAACGGAGGTATAAGCGACGGACCGACCAATCCAATGGTCACGCCTCTGCTTACGGATCTCTATCAGTTTACCATGGCCTATGCTTACTGGAAAGCTGGCAAGCATAACGAACGAGCTGTGTAAGAGTTTTCTTTAATTTGCGTTTTCAATTCTACTACGATTCTTTGAATTTCTCTTTGATTCTTCATGCTTCCTGTAATTGCTGTGACTTCGAATTTGCTTTGTATGTTTGCGCAAGTGTTTGTTCAGTAACTTGCATGGGAGATGAACGCTGATGAATTGATTTCCCCGGCAATTTGTTTGTTTGAAGAAACTGATCATCATTGCATCGATTCTCTTATCTCTCTTTTGTTTCAGCACGCTCAGCAACTTTTTGTTTCTAAACTGAAGAATGTTAAAAAGATAACAGCTATTTGATCATGGATCATATGTCATGGCTGCTCTTTTTTCTTTCTTTTTTTCCTTTTTTTTTTTTGGTGAGGATTAGATTATTCACTACTTCCAATCCTGAATTTCAGTTATTAAGTGGGTATTTGTCTGTGGCTTTCAATTATTCTTCACTCCTCCAATTCTAATGGCTGTAGTGGCAGAGTTTTAGTATTCCTTTCCTAATTTTTTGTTGATGCGAAATGCCACTTGTTCAGTTTGGAGTAAATATGTTAGTTTGTTGCTGGACCTCTTGAAGCACATTACTGAATAATGTTATTACTGTGAGATTGGAAAAGATATGTAATTCTAGTATGAAATGCCTAATTGCTATTAAATTGCATCGCTCAGGTTTGATTTGTATTATCGGAAGAGCCCCTTTGGTGGTGAATACACTGTATTTGCGGGTTTAGAAGAGTGCATTAAATTTGTTGCTCATTTTAATTTCTCGGAGGATGAGATTGCTTTTGTTCGTTCGTCTTTACCTGCATCATGCGAGGTAAACTGATTTACTGTCATGTTTGTAATGTTATTCTTTATGTTCAAAGAATTCATAGATCCAGATCACGAGTTAAGGCGAGCTTTTCATCCTAAAATTAGGAAGGTTTTGCTTCGAAAAAAATAAGGCGCCGTCTGTATTCGTGGATGTATTTGCTTAACATATTTTTCTATAAAAGGGGGCACGTCTAATTTCAGCTACAGCGCTGGTGACAAAGTGAAAATTGTTTCTATCTGTCTTTCTGATTTTGGTTTGATAAGTCACATTGTCTAGTTTAGCTTTGTGTAATTTTTTTTTTTTTTTGCAGTTTGCATATGTGGATAACACTTTATTGGAGTCAGGATTTAGTGACAATAATGCTCCCGAAAAATTATATACAATCATCTAAACACAGTGTTTGCTAACTTGTGGAAGTTGGTAATGCTTCATATCCATGTGATTTGACTTGCAAAGTGCCTTACTGATTTTTTAATGATATGTAGGATGGCTTCTTTGAATATCTTAGGGGCATTGATTGCTCTGATATTGAAATATATTCGATCAGTGAAGGATCGGTTGTCTTCCCTAAGGTTCCGTTGATGAGGGTTGAAGGACCAGTAGCGGTGAGTTTTTTGTGAATGTCATCTGTTGACAATAGATCTGGTTGATTCTTTTAAATGTTTTTCTCTGTGATGGTTATTGGTAATATTTGTTCTCTTGGTTTATTTTGTCTCTATAGGTGGTCCAGCTTCTTGAAACTCCTTTTGTGAATCTTATAAATTATGCGTCATTGGTTGCCACTAATGCTGCCAGGCACCGTTTTGTTGCTGGGAAATCTAAACTTCTTCTTGAATTTGGACTTAGACGAGCACAGGTTGAAGTCTTTTTTTTCTTTTGTTTTAAATTTCTTTTTCATTGTATTAACATGTAATTTATGTAAAAGTTTCTTGGTTGCCTTTTGTATTTTTTGTATTTTTTTCCCCCTCTTTTATAGGATAAGGATTTAATTTCTGGACAAGTTTTCTTTAATCAAAGAATTGTTTTTCGACAGGGCCCTGATGGTGGCATTTCAGCATCCAAATATTGTTACATGGGAGGATTTGATGCAACAAGGTGATTCCTAGTGAAATAGTTTTTCATTTTGAATGTCGCGTTTCAGTGCTTCTCTAAAACAGTTTTACCGTGCTGCGCATTTTTAATTGATTCTCAACCCTCTTTTTTGTGATTTTCACCAAAAACTTGCTGTAGTGGGTTCTGTAGTTATGTTTTTATAGTTTTCACGTTGATGTATGGTTAGAATATGACTAATTTGTGGTAATTAGCTCTTTCAATACAACTATTTGAGGTAAAATGTCTTTCTTTGTGATATGGTTTAACGGGGATCGATTGATGGATCTAACGATTAACCACTGTTTATTATCGTGCCGTAACAGTAATGTGGCAGCTGGGAAATTGTTCGGGATCCCGCTTCGTGGAACTCATTCTCATGCATTTGTGAGCTCATTTATGGTAGGCTATCGCTCTCCCCCTCAACTATATAACTGAAAATGTCCGCAACTGATTGGGCTAGTCATCAATTATAGGAGAAAACCTGTGGAATTGGGGAATTATTATGACAGTCGATGCCTTTGAACTGCTGAAAAACCATCCTTTCAGAATTTGTTGACTTTGTTTTCGAATGGTTTATTGTTTTGTCCCATTGTTTTTCTATAGATTATGCCTCATCAATTCCTTACTATGGAGCAAGAGCAATGAGAAGTACTTGAAATTTGAATGTAGTTCTTCCTTTAAACTTTTGATGGTTTTGAGCCCTGAGAAGAGCGTCATTATTACCAGTTATTATTATGAATGCATACTAATCTTTTACTGACTCTGGCTTAGTCTTTCCTTTATGAAAATTTGATATTGATTGTTGAAGGAATAGTTACAAATTTACCATTATCATAAAATTTATATCCATGATAGAAACATATTTCCTATGTACCAGATCTGATTGGTTTTGCTTCTTTAGCATCACGGACCATTTTTTATGTGTCATACCTTTTCCATTTGGAATTGACTCATTGCTTGCTTAATTTGTGATTACACATTCAGCTTGCCCTCGTTTATAATGCTTGTTGGATCTCTGACATTCAAGTTATTTATGCTTACATTTTGTTGAACTTCTATGTCAGATAAATTTTGTTGACATGGTTGCTGTTAAAATAAATAAAGATTATTGATGCTTGTATGGATTAGGTTCCATCTATACAGTTATTTTCTTTTGACAGTTTTCCGTGTTAAATACTTTTGATGTTGTGGAAATTTAATTTTGCAGAGTACTGCTGAGATCATAGACAGGTCACTTCCTAGCCGTGATGGTACAACCATTTGTGATGATTTCGTTAGTCGGGTGGAGACCTGGCTAGAAAAGCTAAAGGTGCGTAATCATTTTATGTGGAGTTTATGCATAGTTTAAGAACATCTGGTCACGGATTTTAATGTAACAGTTTTTCTCATTCTTTCTTTTTTCATTTTTTTTCAATTTATGTCCTTCAAATAGTTTTATGTCCTGACTTTGTTGTTCAACTACTTACAGTGGTCAAAGCGGTTAGCAGGAATCTTTGGTGAGACCAACGGAAGTGAACTAGCTGCTTTCACCTCCTATGCTTTGGCGTTCCCCAATGTCTTTCTTGCCCTAGTTGACACATATGATGTAAGTTAATATACTTTTAGTTCCTCTTTCCCCTTTTCCCTTCTAAAAAGTAATGTCGTCTATAATTATGCATGTGTAGTTGTGTCTATAAATTCTGATACGCAGCACCATGAGGTGTTCCTATTTGAAAGTCAGAACTTTCAAGGGTATACTTTGTTTGTTTTATTAAGAATTCTCTTGCCGGATATTTACACTTTGATGGGTTTTGATGTTAAAACCATTTATTAACTTTGGGATGTCTCTGCTGTGTAATTGCATATTAAATCTGAAATCTAGCTCTTCTTTTACTATTTAATTAAAAGTAAATCGTTGAATTGTGCGTCTTGCTCAACTGGTTTTGTCTTTTTATTTTTACGTTGCTTGCTCTTTGATTTAATTAGGTTTCTTATTGTGCAATTTGAAGGTAGCAAGAAGTGGTATTCCCAACTTTTGTGCAGTTGCATTGGCCTTAAACGATTTGGGGTATGTCTAAAGCTCTAAGGATCTGGTTTTTGAACACATTCTCTTGGTTCCGTTCTTTTCCCTCCAATAACCAAAATTAGGAAGCTCGGTTAAGTTATTTATGCCACACACATTCCTGATATACTGCGGGTTTTTTTTCCCCTTAATATGAGATTTAAATGGATTTTGCAGGTATAAAGCTGTTGGCATTAGATTGGACTCTGGTGATCTTGCATACCTCTCTTGTGAGGCTAGAAAGTTCTTTTGCTCTGTTGAGAAGGAATTTGAAGTGCCTGATTTTGGAAGGATGAGCATCACGGCTAGCAATGACCTTAACGAGGAAACAATAGATGCTTTGAACAAGCAGGTAATGGACAAGTTGAAAAACTAATCATTCTACATACCCGTAATACAGCTGAGTAATTCAGGTCGTCGATGCTTCTACTTAGGACACTGGTGCATAACTTCCTTTTTGTTCTGGTGAATTGTACAGTGTCTTTTATCCTCCTTTCTGGTGCTGTATCTTTCTTTACCTGATGACGAGATACATGTACAATGGTGCTTATTGAGCTTAGCAGAATTATGTCATTTAAGCTTTGTTTGTTGGACTATCGGTGTGGAACCTGACTCTTTTGAAGAATTTTAATCTATACTTGTGCCTTTTTTAAGAGCAATCATGTCTTGAATTGTTTTGAAGAAAGACCAAGAACTTGAATCAGTTGTTGATGAATTTAACTTCTATGTGGTTTCTCTGCTCTCTGTTTTGGAAGAGCTTTTCACCTATTGGATTATGTTTTTGTTCTTCTCCTCTGCACAGGGTCATGAGGTTGATGCATTTGGAATTGGAACCCATTTGGTTACATGCTATGCACAACCTGCATTAGGTGTCGTTTTCAAGCTAGTTGAAATTAACAACCAGCCTCGAATAAAACTTTCTGAAGATGTTTCAAAGGTGTGATTTAGTGGTCATATTATTTTTCTTCTTCCCCCTATTTTTGTTATTTGAATTTTAGAAACTTATGATTCTACGTTGCTTTTTTAGGTATCCATTCCATGTAAAAAGCGATGTTACAGGCTATATGGAAAAGAAGGTTACCCTCTTGTGGACATTATTACGGGAGAGACTGAGCCGCCTCCTAAGGTACTTCTTGCGGTCCATCTAGATATGTAAAATCTTCCTAGGGTATATTTTATGTTTTATTTAGTGCAAAATATTCCTAAGAAAACTATTCTCAGGTGGGTGAACGGATCTTGTGTCGACATCCATTCAATGAGTCCAAAAGAGCATATGTGGTTCCACAGAAGGTCGAGGAGCTTCTGAAATGCTTTTGGCCTGGAAGTTCAGGTATTTTGATCTATCATCTAGTTTCTTTGGCATATTTGTATTTTGATATGAAGTTCCTTTGGGATCTGCTTGTAACATTACCTCAGTCTTTATTAGGTGATTTCTTGGATATCATTTAATCTATGGATGTTTAAATAAGCATGTGTGCATTTTCCGCAATGGGCTGCAGTGGCCTGTCGTGGGATTTTACCCCCTTGGAGAACCCCAAGTAACGGGCCATCTTAATCTATAGATGTGAATCATTTTAAAACTGTAAATAGGCTATCATTTACTCTAGCTTATGATATATTGAATCTTGACTTTAAATTTCTGGGTTCCGAAGGTAAAAGAAGAGAAGAATTGCCACCCATTAAAGAGATTAGAGATCGATGCATTAAACAACTGGAACAGATGCGTCCTGATCACATGAGAAGGTTGAACCCAACACCTTACAAGGTATGAATTCTTTTATAGTTAGCCTCGTGACATATGTATGTTATATGTACTCAATTTTTTTTGTTTACATCTGTTGAGCAGGTTAGTGTTAGTGCGAAACTGTATGATTTCATTCATTTCCTCTGGCTCAATGAAGCTCCCGTTGGTGAGTTGCAGTGATGATGGCGGCTGATTATCACATGATAGTTATTCCTGTATCAGTTTTAGGATGCTTTCTGCAAGCACCTGAACTCTTTTAGGCCTTCCTCTTGTCAACAATTTATCAGTTTTCATAGCTGCAGTGTTATGTATATTTGTTAGGCTTTACTCTCTTTATAAGCTCTCCTGGCATTGTTGCTGGAGTAGGTTCAAGCTCACACGCTCTGAATATTTAATGAAACCAAAGAAGAAAAACAGGAGGAAAGAAAGATAAATTCCTCTCTTGCAAATCTCTTTTTTACAATAAATTCTAAATTACAACTTTGATGTGTTACATAATACTTGCCTTTGCACTTAGAATTTACGATGCGATACATTCAGCACAAGTACAGTGTTAGAAAAAGGGGAGGAAAAAAACTACTTGGGACTCTTAAATATTGAAGAAATGATGCTATACATGTAATGGCTAATAACTTTCCCCCTTGGAGAACTAGATAATTAAATTGACACTGCTAAACCTTCCATCTGTACCCATCCATAGGCGCATCTATCTCGGAGCTTCTGTATTATTGAAGCTGCCATTTCAACAAAAGGTCGCAATCTAACCACTTCTCTTTCCACCTGTTTCTCCTTGATTTCCAGCTGCGCACATAAAAGACATCACATTTATTTGTTTGAACTTAAGAAAGTAAAACTGTGATATGGAGAACAGAATAAACCACAGGATGTATCACATGTATTTGTTTGACCTTAAGAAAGCAGAACTGCGATATGGAGAACAGATAGTAAAAAAATGACGGGGAGAACCTTTTCGATGCAGCGGGTTGTATCCAGAATATGGCAGAAGTAAGAAAGCTGCTTGTATAAATCAGCCTCTGAATACTGTACATTTATTTGGCAACATAAGCAGTTATTAAAAAGCAATATGTGCTTTCAAAAAGGAATGAAGTTGTATAAACGTATGAAGCCAAACCTTTCTGAGGAGCCTCCCATTGCACCGAGGATAATTGGGACAAAGGGTTCCTCTCTCAGAGTCTCCCAGTACCCGAAGATTCAAACTACGAGTTGTATATTTGCAAGTTTCATCGTCACACTGATCCATTTTCATCACATATCAGTAAAAATGTATTGAAAGTAATTGGGGATTATAATACAAAGATGGAGCACTGGATTGAGAAATACGTACAATCATGCTACCCTGATAATAGGTCGAGATGAAAGCTTCTGCTTGCTTCTTTACCTGATAGAAGTCAAGAGGGTCGTTTAATCAACAAAACTTAAAAAGAGAATTGGAAGGAAAAGGGAAATCGGAAAAGACAAAGAAACGGCCCGGTAAAAGGCCAGAGTCTGCAGTAGCGAAGAATTTTGTGATCCACCTGATTTGCTACTATTGCAGGAGATATACTGCCCTTTTCAACATCTTCAGGACATGTGGGACAATGCAGTTTGAGCCAGAAGTTGTTTGGTGATTGTGAACCAGCTGGCTTTTGACTGCTATATGAACATACAGAACTGAATATAGATGGGCAGTCAAAGCTACTGGAACAACTGGGACATGACAAAACTAATGGCTCACACCCTCGATATCTGCATATCATCAAAGGAAGTTTATAGACATTCAGGAGTCATGCAATGTACGATTAAGTTATTGATCATATCTGAATACTGTAATTAGACATGGAGACCATTTTAGGCCTTCATAAATAAAGCTAACATCTTGGAGAATCCTAGATAACAAAAAGTTACCTCTCTTCATCATCAGCCGCACACAAAAGCAAACTTGAAGAATCACTGTTAACAGCTTCACTTGTTTTGCTTTGGAACTGAAATAACCAAGTATAATTTGTTTGCATCAAGGCTTAACCATCTGAAAACAGTTCACAGAAAGATGCAAATTCTACCTTCGAGGAATCAAGCCCTAAACAATCAGCCAGACGTGCTGGGCTAGTACCCTGAATTGGTGCACAAAGACGCGAAACCACAGGATGAATCTGTATAGTTGCAAAGAGATTATTAACAAGCTAGAAGCTGGAATATTTTTTATGTACAAGCTAGAACACAACATTAACAAAACAAAAGGTGATTGTAATACCTGCTGTGCCAAATAGTAATCAATGTCAATAATCCATTTCCCATTGCCTTTCTTCACCTCATCAGGATGCCTTGCCCGCTGAGCAATCCCGGAGCTGCTGGAGCTATTCTCCTAAACATGGGGGTAGATGCTAATATTAGAGGACAGGGTGTCTTGTCAAAGGAAGTATTCCATAGAGATTGATACAGGTAAGGCACTATACTGAACGTACCTGGTCACAGCAGATAATATAAGGTACAGTATCACCAGCAGAGCAACCAGTGATATAACCATTTCTCTTCATTCTAAGGGCGACCTGAAGAAGAAGAATCCATGCATTTGAACAAGATGTGGCATACAAAAACGTAGAACTGATTTAGTGAAACTTCAAGAGGTTTCATGAGAGTACTTCGACATGTGGTTGACTTTTAGCATCAGGGTAGGCTTCAGGTGCTTTAGTCAATGTTTTTGTAATTACATATTTTTCCAGTTCTATTTGACCGTTCCTCATGTCCTCCTGAACCTGCATTTTATGCAACACACTAAACCCATTACTCAAAAAATAATGATTCAATGAGCTGTTCACTGATTCTGAAAGAAAATGAGCTTGCCTCTCAAAACCTTGTCTCAATTAGTCCAATTATTGTTATAAGCATAACAATTAGATTAAGTGGAGACTTTTTGTCCGGATTGAAACATTACCTTGACAAGTGAATTGTGTATAGATTCAACAACGTCCTCGCAAGACCTGCCAGAACTTAGCTGTTAGCTTATAGTCTTTTGGAATACATAAATATAACTTCAACTTGGATGAAACGTTACACAAGATTTAGCGGCAAACTAAAATACCAAAAAAGACAACTGCCAACAATCTGAAGGAATTAAATCAATCATTAAGATAAAAAGGATAATTGTTATGAATGTCTTGCATACCCGCCAGACAATATTTGACTAAGGCAGAAATCACCCAGTTCCTTTGACAACAAACTCCAGTCTCGGCGAACCATATCAAGACCTTTTCGTTCAATTACCTACAGAACAAGTCATAAGGTCCGCCATAATTTTAGATCCAAACAAAGGTTTGAAAGGGTTAAAAGAATAAATTGTCGAAAGGATTACCTCATGAGGAGTTCCATCCTTGATTTGCATTTTGATGGCTGCATATTTCTTTTTCTTCAGAAGAAGCATTCTTTTATACAGACCATCAAGGTCAATTTCTAAGCATCTATATTTCTTGTTTACCTAGAAAGAAAGAATCACTCCTTATACACTTGGCAGGAAAAATATCCATTTTCTCGGGTTTGTAGCAGAAATTGAGACAAACGAAAAACTATGAAAATTTAATATATCCTGGTTCACTAAATTCCAGCTATAAAGCACAGTAATCACATTCAGTCATCTCTTATAGAGAACGTTCAACTACTTAGCTATATGCATCTCAGGATAGTATGCCATAGAGCCCACCTCTTGAATGACCTTTCCTGCAATAGCCTTTGCCTTTCCGATATCATCAAGACCACTATAAATCATAATGGAATCTGTATCACCATAGATAACCTGCTAGGACGGAAGATAACCGGTCAGCTTGTGAAATTGATAATTTAACAAGTAAACATTTACGACAATGATTAACGATAATCATAAGTTAAAGTTATTTGAATGAAGTAACCTCCAAATTTAGGTTGTTCTGAACAAGGTCAACCGTACTTTGTAAGATCTCCCTTCCCTGCAAACCATTTAGAATACCGTCAAAGATAAATTCCAGGAAGCTTTGCCTAAACTGGAATCATGTTATTTAGAATGAAGCACGCCAGCTGACCTGTAAGGTGATGAGCTCTGCAAGTGGCTTTGCATAGAATCTAGAATTTGAAAATCCCAGGCATCCATACATACTGTAGCACATCCAATCAAAAAGTAAACCCGAAATATATTTAGATAACCAGAATTTTATAGGAAGCAAGTTTAAGGGTAGAAGTGAAAACAAGAGATGTCAAACAGACCTGTTTGCCGTCAGCTTCAATGCCTGTTGCTGAATGTCAAGTTGTTGGGCCTTCAGACCTGTGGCGGTTTTTATCCATGATTTCACCATTCTTCGTCTTTCCACCAAATTTTTCAGCAACTGCAAACAGATGGAATTATCACTACAAGTGCAATGCGAGGTCTGCCACATAGAATATGCTACAAGAACTAAGTTCGCCTACTTGGTGATCGATTCAGCAGGTAATTGATATAGAAGTTTAGAAAGAATTAATTGACTGGATTTCTCCAGTGCCCAAAGACAAGCAGGGAACACAACAGTTACACGGTTGTGCTCACAGAATAGTTAAGATATGTCTCATTCCCCTAAAGCTCCTCAAGGAAACTTAATTTCCTTGGTAAGAATTGAGCTTGACCAATTTTAGCCTCACAAACCGTGTGAGTCATAAAAATTTGCAAATGCAGTCCACCAAACAAACTAAAAGGCATTTAAGCTTCAGTACAAAACTCATTTCGCACCAACCAGCAACAGATAAGATACATATCACAGTGCTGTTATCACATACTTTGAAAAATGAAACTGTTAATAGATAAAGTTGAAGTTACCTCAGGTAAAACTCCTGTCCTTCTACTGGAAGGTAAACGTGGAGCTGTTCCATCTGAAAATCTTTCAACAGTAGTGAAACAGATATTGTATTCCTGCAAAATAACGTATTAGCTAAAGGCGTGTTCATTGTTCACGGAACTATCCAGAATGTTCAACAATTCGTGCACTGTGAATGTGGAAATGTGGTAGCTATGGACAGGAAGGAACAGGAGAGAATGCAGGGACAACCTGAATAATTGAAGGGTAGAGACTATTGAAGTCCAGGAGCAATATATACTTGTCATACAATCCTTTTTTTGGCTCCAAAACCAAACCACCGGCATAAGACGGACCCTTTTTGTTTTTCCCACCATTGTTTTCTGGAATCTCGTTATCAAAATTTGCTTCGTCAATGTAACTATTTTCATTTTCTTTGCTGTCAGAAGCATTGTTAACTTTTCGCTTTGTCATTTTCATTTCCCGTGCCTGAGATGAAAACCTATCTGGAACAATGAACTTCTTTGCATGGAATGCATGCAACAGTAGATATTCAACTCTTTGTGCCCTGGCACCCTGAAAGAGAATACACAAGACTGTAAACAGGGTACACCCCAATAAACTATATAGGCAGTGGTTGAATAGAAACACAAGGAAACAGAGCTCCCACTTATCATTTAAGGTTACTCTACCTGTAGTGTTTTACCCCACAGGTTCCCACTTATGTTAGTCAATTGACGTGTAAGGGGAAGAACACTCAGGTGGAACATGAGCTCCAATGACAACCATGCGTCTGTTTCACCACACTCAATCTGCAAAAATAGTACAACTTCATTAACACATTTTACATGCTTGTAGACCAATCTTCATTAAAAGGCAGCTTTGACTCTTCCACTATCACTCACGAAAGTCACTATTACTGACCAAAGCTAAGGAAAAAAAAGGCTCCAGGACAGTAAGAGGAACAATAAATTCAGCAAAGGTTACACAAGGGGTTCTGAGTTGAACTAAAACTCTGCTTAGGGTTACAGTCTGGCTTATCCCTTGTGCAGTTAAACACAGAACAGAACTCCAGCACAATACAGGGGCACAATTTAGATATTTATTACTTTCATCTTGTTTATTATAAAGCAATCATAAAAATAATTATCAGAATATCGCTCTACCCCAATTAATTTAAGCAAAAGGTGGTGAGTCACCAATTTCACCATCCATGTCGTATCATCAGCTAAACATTATGACTGAAAAGAAACAGTTTATTAATCCAAAAATCAGTTAACAGCCGAAAGAAACAACATACAAGCTCCATAAGTGATTCCGAGTTTTGAAACATGCGAGGAATGTCATGAGGAGTAATCTCCTTGCGGTCTTTATTGAGTTGAGTTTTTGCGAGTTGCGTCAAGGAATAGCTGACCTGTTAGGAGAAAATTTCAAGTTATTGAAAGAAGCATCACCAGGTGGTTCAACACAACAAAACTTTCTGCAAAGTAGTATACCTCCTTCAGTAAATCACGAGAACAAAGATAGGTATCACATAAGAGTCTGCCTGCAATACAGGACATGATCCCAGGACTTGCACCTGAGCCAAAATTGCTATTTCCCTTGGTAAGTTTAGGAACGGTAGAGCGCTTCAAACGACCCACTTTAGACCACATACTGCTTGGTACTTTGCAAGCCTGCATGTGACAGTGTCATACAAATCCTATGAGATTAACCATTTTTCTGTTTTCCACAGCATCAGAGAAAGTTCGAGAATTTAAAACAGGTGACAGGCAACTTTTATCTTATATCACAGCGGAGAAAATAGAAATGCTAGAAAAGAAACCCCAAGAATAAGAGCAGCATGTCATGATTGTCATCATCACAAACACCAAAAATCAGGCTGCCTTTAATAGTTTCTGATTTTAATTTGATAGCAAAATGTTGTTGTCATATAACAAGCATAATCCTCTGTGAGGAGTTAGATCAAATGATGGCGCATGATAACGGCAAGTAGAAAGAGATGTTGAGGACGCACCTGAAATCTGTGAAGAAGAACATCAAGGTCAAACCCAGAGATATTGTGCCCCACGAGAACATCACTATCCAGTTTATGTAATTCAATCATCAGACGATTCAATAAAGCTCTTTCACTGGTACATCAAATGTAAAGAAAATGGAGAATCAGCAACAGAACGAGATATTATTATATGAATGGTAAGAAATTGACAGTGGGAAATGAACTTCATCAAAACGCGCCTGCTTTCAGAGCTTATGACACTGGATCCAGCTTTAGCATTTCTTTCAGCAGACTCTTTGGTGAATCCCATTGGAAATATGGATCCCTCAATCTTACGAACAACAGTGAAGTGGTTAAGCATGCCTGGCTTTGTCCACTCTGAAGCCAACATGGGAGCATCAATCTGAAATTAAATCAAGGAATTAGTATGTTTCTAGCATCAGTTCTTTTTTCTTTTTTTTCTAACATCAGTTTTTTCCAACCATCCTAGCTAAATTGGATGTAGGCAGCCATAGGGCTTTTAGGTTTTAATTTTGAAATAATAACACTCTTTGACAAATAATGATTAGAAACGGCGAGAGGCTTGCAGGGAGAAGTATGAAAGTTTGCACAATCAGGCTAATCTCAAATGCAAGCATTCAATGGAGGAGAAAGTTCATCAGTTTCTGGAGCACTACCCATCTCAGCTAGTATAAGTATGATATATGCTTTTGTCATGAGTCATCCTAAACAGCACTATTAATAAACTAACTGACCCATTGATGCAGTTCTAGGGATGAACTTCTTGTAACATACCTTGGCTTTCTTGCAGCAAATGACAGATGCAGAAACAATTTCATTATGATTCTGTTTCTCATTGATGACTGTTTTCAGATTTATAGCAGTAACTACTACAGGAGGAATCTCTGCAGTGATCTTGGAGGAAGTTGACACTCGTACATCCTTTGGAGAATCAACAGAAACTTCAAATTTGCACCAGCTCACCTGTGCAAATGTGAAAATGTCAATTTAGGGCCAACATAGCTGCAACAACAGCACATAACCCATAAAGCATTCATGAGCATTTTACACGTTGAGGTGCAGGGCAGCTAGAGAATCCTGAGATTGATAGCCAAGAAGGTCCCTTTATTTTCCTTTTCACAAGAAAATTTTCCAAGGCGCTGCAAATACACGGTCCAAGTTAGCATTTTTCATTTCCAGAAGTACGAAGTATAGGTAAAGTTTGGGATCATGGTTGGTCCAGAATGGTTTTATTTAAAAACTAAAGTGCATTATTTAACAATCAGACCAAATCAAAGAAGACAGAGAGATGCAGTAAATCTGAGTAATTACTCGCAACTTAAATTATAACCATAATGCATACCCTTTCTGTTGAACTCATAATTCATGGTAACTAAAAGTCGGAAAAATTCAGCATGAAATGCAAAGAAGATAGACCATATAACTATCCTGAACTACCTTGAATGTGTTCCCAACAATGCAGAGAAATTTTCACCTCTAATATCTGAGGGAAGCGGTGGATCCTGCAATCAGTTATTTCACAGCCAAGAACTGATATAAGAAATCTTGTAACATGCAAGGAAAAAATACTGTTCAAAGTGTCGACTTAATAAAAGCATAGAAACCTTAAACGGATAAGTGATTTTAAGGACATGATTCTCGCCCCTTGGTATATCAGATCGCTCAAAAGCATAATTTCTCTGCAAATGAATAACAAAATAAGTAAGAAACTAATATCAGAATGAAACATGACAAGGAAAATATGGCACATTACATAAGTTTAACCATGCATTGATTTGGTTACTAATCAAACCTTTACAGGAGCCATACTGAAAACCGAAACATTACGATCCAGCAGCTGTTTAGTAATCTCAGCTTTTAATCCTGATGCCATCTCCTAAATGAAAATATGGAAGTTCACACGTAAGTGGTGAAGGAATGCGGTAAATCAATCCGGCTATCTCCATCAAAGACAGTAAAACAATCCTGAAAGTTCACGTTAGATCGACTCACATGCAGTTGAGTCCGGAATTCTGCAGAAGATATTTTAGACTCTTCTGCATCCTTTTCTAGCTTCATTAATGTCTCGCCATCAAAGACAGTGGCATTTGGAATTGCATAAACACATCTCTGCATGTTCTTGACAACCACACAGCAGCTATTGTATGTATCTCCAGATTTGACCTTCATACCATGCGTGAGATGTCAAAATCAGAATAAATGAAAAATGATAATTTAACACTTGATTATTGAGCAACAAGAACATGGTCTATTCTTTCTTAAGTAAACGCTTCAAAATAGATAGCAAATAAATGTTTTTGAATCAATAAGAACAAATGACTCAGACATCTTTTTTACAAATGGATTGTGACATATGTATAATTAATTGATCAGTTACATGATGGCAAGCTTTCACTATTCCCCTTGAATATCAAGGACACTAAATTTCAAAAATGTTGCTTAGTTTATCTTACATTATGCGTGAAATTGAACTTTAGGCAAGTGTTTTTCCAAGGAAGATACATGGTGACGGGAATATGAGAAGAAAAACCATATACCTTTCCAAAGAGAAATAGATTCCCCGCGTTGGCACCATAGATTTCCTCATGAGCATCAAGTATATAGAAAGGCAGTGAACCGTCAGGATCCACCAAAAAATCAGATTTCTCTTCATTGTTCAAACTCTGGTTTCCTTCGGAAATATCACATCTCTTCATTGCCTGCCACCCAGCAGTAGCACTTAGTCCTGAATTCTTCTCCTCTGTAATCTTTGCATTCAGACTAAACGCTTTCTCTCCCAACTTTGCTCCTGGCTGAACTTCCAATTGAACCCCAATAGATGAATCATCTCTTTCCCCCTCTCTTTTCTCTGAAACAGTAGTCACTCCCCCACCTATTTCGTCCTTCAATCCAACAACGGAGGTATCTTCACTCCCATTTCCCCTCACCGAGAGATCTTTCTCACTCATATCAGTATCAGTTACCACAGACTCGTTCGAGTCAATAAAATCATTATTATCAAACCTATCACTAACATCAAAACCATTACTAACAGTATCCTTCTCAACTTTAATTGACATAAAATTAGAATTTACTGGAACAAAAGTTTTCAATTTAGGAGTTAAAATAGAATTTGCCCTCTTCCTCCTCTCCCTGTCCTCCTCATCAGGCGCAAATTCAGCAATCACATCATCTACGATACTATCACAAGAGAGATTGTTCTTGGCCTTATTATCATCTCTATTCGTCTTGAAGACCGAAGAAGTAAACATATTTGAAATTCTTTGCTTACCCATCAAAGCGGCGGCGGCGGAAAGAGCTGATGGCTTTTTGGTAATTGGCGGCTCCTTCTTCTCCGAACTGTTGTTATTACTTCTGTTATTCTTCTTCCTTTTCGGCCTTTCCATTTCACCGTCGGACTCCTCCGAAGACAGAAGAACACCGGCTTTGGACCAATCCTCTTCCTGACCTTCATCGCCGTACCCTAGGCCGTCGTCATCCACGATGAAATCCTTGACCTCTTCCCGCCGCTTCGCGACGAGTGCCTCGTATTCCCCGTCGTCGACAGTATCGTAAATTCGATCCTCCATTTTGATTTGAAATCCATGACCTTCTTCGGTAGATCTACGGCCGCCGCTCCGGAGAGCTTTGAGTCGCTGGAGTGCCTCCGCGCGCGCCGTCGCCTGAGCTCCCCTGCTCCTCCGTCTTCCGGCAACCTTAGGCTCCTCATCTGACATTTTTATTTCTCTTTTCTCCTAGTCCTAAAATCACCCTCGCTCACCACTCCTCCGTCTCAGTTAACTAGATAAGAAAGAGAGAGTGATTGAAATAGTAATATTAGTAATAAAGATAAAATAAAAGCGGCTGTCCTGGCGGGAATGTGCAGTTTCGCGCCAAAACGGGTGTATAATTTTCAAGTTCCATGGTATGTGGCTGATGGAAAGGTTTTTCACGCTTTTTTTTTTCTTTACGAAATTGTAAAAAAAAAAAACATTAAAAAATCAGCAACTGCTACAAAATTCTTTTACTTTGATTTATGTTTCAAATTCTGTGTTTTTTTAAAGGCCAAAATGTTTCTAATTCGTAGTATTACATTCTTAAATTGTCGCCAAGAAATAGATGCGAGTAGATAACTATTTGTAAAAAATGATCAAATATGATATATGTGCTGAATTTCTTTAGATAGATAAGCACCTAGTTGCATAGTACCCTTATGTCTTTGTATTTTTTGAATTTAAGTAGTAAGATTTTTTACTTATATTACTATGTCACATTGAATTTTAAAATTTGTAAAAAAAAAATATAAATTTGAGAACTCGAACTATTTTTTTTTTTTTTTTTAAGCTAGATGAAGTATGTGCTTATCTAAATTAAGTTCTTGATAAAAGAGAAAACAGTAACAATGGGATGAGGTGTGACCAAAAGAAGACGTTTCTGTGCAAAATTGGACAAGTAGGAGGATGCAAGATTTAGAGATCATGCCTGCAAATCTGAAGCTGGGAACCAAAAGGCGAACTGATCCATGTGTACCTCCAATTCAGTTAGATTCCTGGGGTCGTTTACCTCTGCTATTTGGGAAGAAAGATTTCCAGGGATCAATATAAACTCTGGGTCTAATCCTTGGAGTTCCTCTCTCAATATCGACCACCTGATGAATCTCCAAAGTTTTCTAACTAAATCGCTTGGCCGCAGGAGAAGTTTTTGAATGTACTTCTTCCAAGCCATTCCCCCATGTCCAGTGGTTTCGTTCACTTTCAGAGGAAATGATTGCAGCGACTCAACTGTCCATGAATAAATGGGTTTTTATCGGGAGTTTCTGCCTTGAACTCTGTTTGTAAGTCTTTCAGGCATGCAAAATTTGTGTTCCTAAAGAGTTTCGTTTTTAAGGTGTGTAAGGCAAGTCGAACGCCATCTAATTGGCATGGAAATAACGGTTTAAGAAAAGAAAACAGTGCCGCGCCCGGAAGCTTAATGTAGTTGTGTGATTGAACAACTCTTCTCACGTGTGAGAAGTGAAAAAACAGATAGATGGATGATAATCCCCGGTGGAAAAAATCATATTTATTTCTTTATGAATCTGTCAAAAAAATGAAATAAATTTTCTCATGCTCTTGTTTAGTAGTATACAGTATCTCACTTCTCTCTCAATGTATCTAAATGTCCGACACCATGCCTCCTGAAACCTCAGTAAATAGAAATTAAGCAGAGAATTGCCAGAATCAACCAGTGAAGCTGGAATGTCTGCTTTGTAGGAGAATGGTTGCTAGGAACTTCCGATGCTGGCACTGGAGCTGAGGGTGGCAATTGTGCTGGTGGGGGCGGAGAGAGCACCGGAACGTCACACTGGCCGAATGTTCCATTTGCCTGCTCAAATTCCACCAAGAATTAGCCAAACAAGCAACTTGATAGTTCCTTTATAAGTAATCTTCGTATATGAGCATGATACATCGGTTTACTTGCCTTCGTTTAACCAACCCAGATACTGACTACAGTCACTACACTATGATGTAAAATCTACTTCCCTTGTAAAGCCATCAATCTGATTCTTTAGCTTAGAGAAAGGTAATAATTTGAAGGAATTTCAGCAATACAAAGGGGCTAATGAAATTTAAAAGTTAGGTTACTTTGGAATCAAATGTTATAACCTAAAATAAGGTTAGAGTATACTTCAATGGTGTTTTCCGTTCACCCTTACTAATCAAACTACGTATCATAATAGCATTCAATCTAAAGGGCAAAGTTAGATGATAACACAAACCTACCTTGCAGTATGCAATGCGGTCACAACCACAAGCCAAGTGACCATTTGCTTCATCAACTGCTTCTGCGGCTCCTCCACCATCACTTCTCTGCAGACAAAAGATGAATAATTAAGCAAGCATCCTAACAATTATACTAGATCACTGACATCAGTAACTATAATTTGCACAGAACAGGTAAAACTATAAACATTTGCTACCTGGTAAAAATCAACAGCAATAAAATTTGGCCATCTATTGCCAGCTGCTTTATAGCAAGTTTGCATCATACTGAGCAGTGAAGCAGAATTGTCCACACAAGCTTCTGTTTTGTTGGGATCATCAGGAAAGTAATTCTCGAGAACTAATGAGATTGTTTTTGAGTTCAAAGGAGGTGACTCTGAACGACTAGGACAAGATCCAGCTTTCATCCCACCATCTCCATCTGCAGTTCAACCACCTAATGTAATTATTACATACTTTCTAATACTAAATCATTAAACATTGGTCAACTACAAAAAAAGACTGATGTGTTTGAACAGGAAATATTTTCGGCTACTGACAAATTGGTAAGACAAACAAGACTAGTAAACTCCAAGAGTGGACGACAAAAACTAAAACATGATTAGCTTCAATATACACGACCTTGTAAGGTGTCTGGCGGCATATACTAAGAAAGTAAGAAGTATTAGATAAATGACAGTCTGAATAGAGCTATCCCCTGGGAGACATTTTCTAACTTGATTAGGCAAATGTAATAACACTCACATTGGTTTTCGACCACGTATTTCCAATTGTAAGCAATCCCCTCTGAAGCTTCTTTGGTTTTATCAGAAGTAAAAACTACGAGACGCTGATTCTGCTTGACCATATCGTCAACTGTAGGCCAGTCTTCCCCATTTTTAGGCATTTTGGTCACTGGAAACCAGAATTTGTTGAGACCAGATGCATTGAAAACTTTTGTCAGTCCTTGTGGAGACTTGACATAGTCCTCAATGAAAATAGTGACAATTTCTGAAGTGTTTTCTTCCAGAAACGCTTGAATTTCCTTCAGCACATTGATAGCAGGTTGCTGGGAGGACAAAAAATAGTGTCATTTCAAACTTCAAAGACTAGCCATTTGGAGTTGGGGCGGGGGGTAGTGTGGGTGGTGGAGGAGCGTTCATTTGTACATGAGCGTACAAATGTGACAAAAAGCAAAACATCACTTACAAATGCAGTAACATTGTAGCATTTCCCACCAGCGGAGTGACACAACCAGATGTCATTGTTGAAGTCATACATGTCAAGCATTAGGCCTCGAACGCCATTCTGCACATAATGAAATTTTAAGCATGCAGACACTAAATTTACAACTGAAACAGTATTAATATTAAGCTTCAAGTACGAGCAGATGATTCCCGGGTAAATTTTAGATTATTGAAACCACAAAATTTTACGAATCCCGCTAAAACCATACTGTTATTTTTGAACCACTCACGAAGTTACAAATGTGCAAAGTTTATAAACTTCCACAATTGATCCAAGCAACTGCATTACAATAGAAATACGTGTAATCCTAGCAAGTTGTAAATGCGAGAAACAAACATGGGTTTGGCTAATTCACAAGCTTTATAAAATTAAATACGAAATGCTACTGACCAAGACCAAGTCCACGTTTTTCAACTCCATGAAAGGTTAAAAGAACAGATTAATTATAGTAAAAAAAATTAGGGGACACCCAAGTAGATTTCACAGTTATAACCTCAGCATAGTAGAGTTAGCAACTTAAGTTGTTGACTTCTATGATTTCCAATGAAGCACAGAACAGAACAATTCCATGTGGACAACTGGGAGGCAGAGTAAGTGAGAGGGTAAGCTTTTTTATGTTCAAGCAAACATGAGTGACAATTATTACTAACCACCACATCACGTGTACCTTCAATTTGCATGAAGCTTCAATTTACTAATACGCATTTAATCTTACAAATCAAAAAAAGGATAAAAGAAAAGCTTCAGACAGTCAACATTACACCATTAAAGCAATGAAAGATCTTACAAAGTCTCAACAACTCCTATTAGAAGGTCAATGGGTAGCAGCCACATTACCCACAAGTAGGAAATAGTTTTGCCCAGTCAAATTAAGATCAACTGTCTTAATTAAAAAGTCTAAAGTTCGATGTGATTCACCAATAAAAGAAATCCAAACATTAAACATATACATTGAAATTTTCTTGTTTGACTCTATCTGAAAGTATTTAGTAAAAGCATGAGGCTAAGTATAATAAGGAAACAAAAAAAAAAAAACACCAAAGCTGCACCTGCCAAGTGCCAACCCTGTCGGTACTGAAACTCCGGCTAAACAGACGGTGGCAGAAAGCCTTCTTATTATCAAAACTGTATCAATGGAAGCAATTTTTTACATAACGATGAAGAAGATGAACTTACCTTCAGTTGATTGGTTACAGTGTCTTCCTGATTGGTGGGCGCCAAAATGGCTGACCCAGTAGCTGACTGGGACCCCGATAACGCAAAGGCGTTGTGGGTCGTCAACCATGAGTATCGATTGAACGGAAGACCTTTCACCTTCACATTTTACCCGGAGGAGAATAAGTCAAAAACAAAATTCCCAGAAAATCTGTTCAACAACGTTAATAACACTTGGGACATTTGTCTAAATTTTATTGGTATTGTACCTTTGAAGTTGGGCTCACGGGTTGGACGCGGGTGCATCTGGGTCGGGTATTGCCGTTAGCAGGGCATGATCCACAAATCAACCCGGCATCGCAGGTGTTGGTTGAAGATGAATTCGAACATGTTTCGCCAAGCTGGAGTATATATAACAACGTAAGACAACATAGGATCAATTATGCCGAGATTCGTGTCTGAATTTTTGGTAAGAAAATAAGAATCCAAAAGCAAAGACAAGATATATGTATCTGAATGGACCTTAAGACAATGACATATCGGAAGGAGACAGATGAAGATTAATAAAAATTTGATGAACGAAACCTGCAAACCAAAAAAAATCATAAATCATAAATCATAAATAGAAGAAGTTGAGAAAAGGTTTATGGGAAATTTACAGAAAATCAAGGAAATGGTAAAGATGAAGATTATTTTGCATGCCTGCATTTCTGGTTGAATTAGTATCAGAGGAGAAGGGGGGACGAGAGAGAAGAAAGGTCCCTCTCGTTCAGTGATTAAGATCAGAAGATAAATTTCTATCTGGTTCGGTCTTCTTCTTTCCCCGGAATTTTTCTAATAAGGATTAGTCATAATGTGGGGAGAAAAGAGGCCACACCTGAGGAAATTTCATGGCTTTTGACTGGCTACTTTTCATTCATTTTGCAAAATACTTTAAGTATTAGTGTGTGAAAAATTGGAGCCGTTAAAATGGTAATTGAAATTGTCCGCGCGCGTGTGCATGGGCTGAAAATTCTGAAAAACTGGCGAGATGCTAAAACAGCTCACTAAAGACTAAAGTCCATGGGAAAAAGTAATTAAAAGCCTAATCTTTTTTTCTTATTTTAACATAATTTTCTTTCTTTTTGTCTGAACAAGATTCATTTTAATTATTAGTAGTATTCATTGCATTTTATCGAAGCCCACCTGTTTACGGTAACGAAAAAGTTCCATACTCTCCAGTCTCCAGTGATGAGGCCCATTCATGTATTTTAAATGTCCTTTATTTTCAGTGGCGGAATCGGCTACTCAGACTTGAAAGAACTGACTACATATTCATAATTAAGATCGGTGGTCGAATATATATGACGTAAGGCTAATATCACACAGCATTCAACGAAGACAATCCATGGAGATAGTAATTTCTACACAATATTTAAATTAGAGATTGCAGTCATTTCGATTCTAAACTTTCAATTTATACTTCCAAAATAATTATCCCATTCATTGCAAACTACCGGAGTATTTTACCCTGCCAAATACGAGAATCACATTATGTTGAATCTGAACCTGTGTTAACAATTTAGAAACCCAGCAGGCATTAGTCAATGAATCCATTTAATTAGTGGTTAAAAAGGGGTCGCTTATCCATATTCATTTTCCTTTATGTTTTTTATTTATAATGATTTCCACTAACAATTCTGAGTCGATGTAGAAATACAAACACCACTGAAAATTGAATTACGCAATATTAATTGCTTGCTCTATCAAGGCCAAAAATAAATAAATAAATAAATAAAATAAAATAATAAAAAAAAAAACCAGTGGAAAAACTTTTATAATTGTCGAGCACACCTAGAATTCCTGGCCCACGGGAATTTCATTTCAAGCCCATAGGAAAAGCTGTATAATACGAGGATTAGGCCCGTAGAGAAAAAAGGATAAAAATCTCAAGTATGAGAAGAAAAATTATCAATTTCATAAATAATATTGTTCACCTTCCACAAAAACAAAAACAAAAAATTCACATTGTATTTTGTGATTTGTACTATAAGAATTTTTTTTTTTTTTTTTTGAGATAGAGAGTAGTCATAAACATTATTTCCTTCTTACGAAATCGACCTTTTTTTTACCACGAAAAAAAAAGTATATTATTGTTTCAAAACTTATCCAAGATATTCAGTATATACAAATGGATAAATAAACAGCTCATGATGGATTGATAGGTTTGATCCAAACACTCTCTCTGATTATTGTTATAAGACATTTTAATTTATTTTAAATTTCATTTAGTAGTATGCATTTTTAATTGAAAGTAAAACTTTAAAAATATATTTTCACATTTATTGTGTTTATCAATTATTGTAGAATATTTTTAATATTTTATTTTATTTGTAAAAACATGTTAAATGAAACTTAGACAAATCAAAATATCTTGCAATAAGGATAGGGGAGAGTACTATACAACTTCATGTCTAGTTGTCGACAACTAACTTAAACTAATGGCGTACACTGAATTAATCGGAACAATGAATTCGGACACCGAATTCTTAACATACCAAAAAAAATAATAATAATAATAACTAAAGGCGTACATGAGATTTTAAAGAAATAATATTTGATCGTGTTCGATCTCGCACATGATGTCGTATATTTTTTTGGATACATGAATTGTCAATTTCTTGAGACAAGTTAAAATTGGAGGCAAGTTTCAATTTGTAACATTCTTAATGGCTGAATGTAGTAATTAAACTAGGTGGTTTATCAACTACTATATCAATTTATAGGGATGAATAACTCGTGAAAAAAAAAAGACAAAAAAACATTCACAAAATACAACGTGATTTGTGCCATGAACGGGAAATGCAAAGACCGAGTATGAATAACAAGTAGTAGTACTACTCCAAAGGAAATAAATGTCTTGTTTATACTCCCTCCGTCTCATAATTATTGTCCAGTTTGAATTTTCATTTCTAGTTCAAATTGTGTTAAAAGTGAAATTTCAAACTGAATCAATAATTTTGGGACAGAAGGAGTACTTTAGAATTTAGAGCTTTTTGAGAATAGAGGAAGCAGTTTATTTATGGCAGGGGAGACAGCAGAGTTAGGCTTTTCCAATGTTTAGCCATTACCAGATACGATTAGACCTTTAAACTTCCATCTCGTTTCTTTATACCTCATCTATGAGTTTGGTTATATAAGTGACTACTGATGTCTGGTCGCGCAATGGGCGACCCTGGCCCAATGTATCTGTAGATCTTAGAAATGTTTGTATCTGGAAAAAAAAATATTTTGTATTTGGTCCGATATAATTTAGAAATTTTTGAAGAATTTAGAAATGTTTTATAAGTGTGATCACAAAAATGTTTGTATTTTGGCATAAAAAGAAATTGTATTTGGTCCGGTATATTTTAGAAATGTTTGAAGATTTTAGAAATGTTTTATAAGTATTACTTCTTAAATATAAATAAACTTGATCAAATATATGTCTTGAAGTAAATGCTAGACAAAATATGAAAGCATGCCAATAAGTTTAAATATTAGTAAGATAATTTATTGATGTTCTCCATTGGTTGTGCCAAATCAATACTTAGTTTTGGAGATTTATAATAGCTTTGTAGTAAGCTTACTCCCAAGGGTATACGCTTAATTGTTGGAACTATTTCTTCCAAAAGTTTATAGGTAGTAAAATATCAAAAATATGATTTTGAAACTGGTTCATTGTTGAAACTGGTTGATCACAAATATGAGCATGAAAATAACGTAAATTTGCATAGGTTTCAAGTTATAGCAAAAAAGAACTCACCTCACCATGACAAATAAAGAAAAAAAAAAGAAATTAAAAGATAGCCCATTAAAAATTAAGAAATTTATTTGTATAAAAACACAAATAAACGTAGAAACATCATTTCTTCCCTCTCCACCTCAAATTCATAAAAGGCTTCCCCATAAATTAATTAGAAGAAGCGACCTGAACTATTTATATGATGAAGAACTAAAAAAAGTCCAAAAATCAAATAAAAAAAAGTATATTCTTGAAAGCCCGAACACAAAAAAGAAAACGCGCTTCATTTGCAAATGAACTAATAATAATAATAATAATAATAATAATAATAATAATAATAATAATTGGTCAACTGGGATTATGAAACAAAATCAAAAGTAACTAAATAAAGAAAAAATACACTTCATAACTGATCACATACAAAAAAAAATCGAGACTCCATAATTAAAAAAAAAAAGCACTCTAATTGAATGAAATATAAAAAAGAAATTTAAAAAATCACATTTTGTAACAAAAACACAATTAATAAATTCAATCCAAACAGAACTAAAATCATACAAAAATTCTAGGCTAACTAACCATATAAGAAATCACATCTATTACCTGACAACGGCCACGGTAGCTGTAACGGATGGACGCATAAAAATAATAGTAATAACACTATTCTTGAACGGAAAAAATAAAAAAATAATAAAAGCTAAACAAATAATCTGTGGAAATAAAATCATTTAAATTTTAATATCTGTAATTGCACCATCACAACGACCGAAGCAAGATCAATGAGAATTTTTTTTTTCCTTTGTGTTTGTATAGAGAGGTAAAGAGAATATTTTTTGAAGTCGAAATTTTATCCGATTAAGATGTAGTTGATCATCACTAATGAAAAAATTGAACATGCTAATTGGAATGGAGTATATTTCACCACATATTCTCAATTGATGATTGATGAGGAATTTGTTTTTTTCTTATTGTGGAGAAGGGAGTGATTAGGGAGTCCATTGTGGTAGAGATGGAGATGAGGTTTTGGGTTTTTTATGAACCCATGGTTTTTTTTTTTTGGCGAAAATAGGAAGTGGACGTGGATTTGGACTGCATTTACCTTTTAAGTCTAGGAGATGTAAAAATAAAAATTTATTTTAAAAATATGATGTAAAAATGTCACATGGCAAATGACGGTACTTCCTCTTAAATATGGTTTTTGTTTCTAATATAATAAGATTTAATAGTTAACTTTATTGTTCAATACTATTACAAATGTTATTCTTTAATATGACCAATTCATGTCCCCTAAGCTACATAGCCTTTTGAATATACACAGATATACAATTTTCAACAAAACTCAAAAGTGTGACTAAGTAATGTAGACTGTAGTAGTGAATATTCCAAATCTATAACGTACCCAATTTCCTCATTCCAACTTCCATCAGTAGAAACAAAATCGTCCTTTTTTAAAAAATTAAAAATAAATAAAACAAATAAACAAATACATTGATGAGAAAGTAATAACCTGACCAGCAGACTATTTAGAATAGGAAAAAAAAATTTTGGTTACAACTGGCTTTTTCTGGTTTCTTGTGTTTTGATACCTCTGACTCTCTCCTTCCCCTAGCCACCCTTCTTCCTCCAATTAATTGTCATTACACGCAACCAGTTAAAATAAATAATAGCAAATAAACAAACCAAAAACAGTAACGTGGTGTTGGACTTTCTAGACAGACCTCAATTTCATAACAAAGAAAGAATCACTAAGCTGATGAGATCTGTCTTCTTCTTCTTCTACTTCCTCTGCTTCCTCTGTTTCTTCTTCTTCTCACTCTCTTTCCTTTTAAAGGATTTTGAACTAGAAACAAAAACTGTATTCCATCAATCAGCTCAGCTGAGAGAGATTAATCAAACGTTTTAACAACAATGTCAATGCATGGAAAGACAGATTCAGAGGTGACGAGTCAAGCGCCGTCATCACCAAACCGGGCCATTTACTATGTGCAGAGCCCATCAAGGGATTCTCACGATGGGGAAAAGACCACCAATTCTTTCCACTCTACTCCAATCCTCAGCCCAGTTGGATCCCCCGGCCGGCACTCCCGGGACTCATCGTCGACTAGATATTCGGGTTCGCTCAAACCCGGATCCCAGAAATCGAGTAACGGGTCCAGGAGGCACAGTCATCAGAGGAAAACAGGGGAAAAGCAGTGGAAAGAGTTTGATGCTATTGAAGAAGAGGCGCTTCTTGATGAAGAAGGCGGTCGTAAACCAATCCCTCGTCGGTGTTACGTTTTGGGTTTTATTGTCGGATTCATTGTGCTTTTCACTTTCTTTTCTTTGATCTTGTGGGGCGCCAGCCGGAATCAGAAGCCTGTTGTTACGATGAGGGTGAGTATATCAAATCCTATGTTTCTTCCAGCTTTTTCTGCTATAATTGCGTGCATTTTCGTGTGGTTTTGACATTAGTTACTTAATAATACTGTTTCTTTTTCAAGAACTGAGAAGTCAATGATTTGCCAGTTATTACTGGGCAAATACAGTGGACAGTTTGAATTCAAAGTATTCATGATATATCATTCAGGCATTCCAGCCCTTTTTGTCCCTCTTAGGAAGTTTCTTCCTTGCTGTTTTGTACGATTTGCAATTACGCAATGGCCTAATGGTTTTGATTGGAATCTAGTCTGGCCCAGTAAAAAGAAATTTTGTCATTTTCTCTATCATAGTATGGTGGAAAGACAAAAAGCATAGTTCCATTTTAGGAAAAAACAAAATCATGGCTTTCTATTACCTGTATATCATTAGTAGTAGCTCTGAACATTATTCTCTCCCTGAAAGTTTTTAGTAAGAGCTGGAATCAGGATCAGAAGTTGGTCTTTCAATTGCTCATATTGTTAACAATAATTAATCCAATGTTGCAGAGTTTGACATTTGATCAATTCACGGTTCAAGCCGGTTCGGATGCATCAGGAGTAGGCACTGAAATGTTAACCATGAATTCCACTGTAAGGCTCACTTTCCGGAATAAGGGTACATTTTTTGGGATCCATGTATCACCGACAACTTTGGATCTCTCTTTAACTGAACTCACCGTCGCCACCGGAACGGTAAGTCTTTCCTACTTCATCAGCTTTGTGGACTAATTCACATTCAACTCATTAAAATTTAAATGTTCATTTCTTGGGGGGGATTTTGTAGATAAAGAAATTCTACCAATCGAGGAGGAGTCAGAGAACCATAGCGGTGAATTTGAGAGGAACCGGAATTCCGTTGTACGGAGGAGGAGCCGATTTGGGCAGCAAATATGGGAAACCGACATTGCCGGTGCCGTTGAACTTGAATTTTACAGTGAAAGCCACAGCTTATGTGTTGGGGAAATTGGTGAAGCCGAAATTCCATAGAAGGGTCAGTTGTGATGTGGTTTTAGACCCTCTGAAAATGGGTACTGCTCGGGCTTTAAAGAACAACTGCACTTACTGGTAGAACAGACCGAGATGGTGTAAAACATAAAAAGAAAGACCCTTTAATTTGCATTTTTTATACTTGTTTGTAGAACTCGTCTTTGTATAATTCGTGATGTTTATTGTTGTAATTTCATAGGAAAAATGGCGGGAAAGTTTTGATTTGAGAGTTTGAGTTCATCTTCATTACTCCTCCTGTGGCTTGACAGCTGCGGAGATAGTTCTGGGAGCATGAAATCCGGAAAACAAGCGATATGCAGAAAATGGGTCAATTTTTCAGCCGGATCAAATTAACTCTTCCCTAAATTTTTGAGTTCCTCCAAAAGTCGAACCATTTGGATGTTGGAAACGTGGGAAACCACAGCCACAAAACGGTGGAAAATTGGAATCACAAACCCAATTGTCAAAGGTGGCAAACTCAGTCCATTAATTCAACGTTTTCTTTATCTGGACCTCCAAACCCACACAGATCCCTCGCAGGACAAAATCCATACATGGTTCCCAAATGGGCTTCCTACGTACAGAATAACAAAGAAGAAACTCGTGCAGAAGCGCAGACACAACACCCAGAATTCTTGAAGGGAGGTGGATAAGTACAGCTCGTCCGACGGCATTTCAAGCTCCTCCATACCCACAACGGCCTTCACCAAAAAATGAAACAATCCCCCATTAGAGAAACCAAGCAACAACGCTCTACGAATAAAATTCTGGGGTGAGTTTTTCCTTTGTAGTGACTAGTGAGCCATAAATCCCGCGAGAAGACTGAAAGATTATACGGTATATACGCAGGAGTAATTTTACCACCCGTAACAGCATGTTTGGTGCCCATATCCGAATGGGCTTGTTTGAAACATAACTGAGAGTTTCAAATCAATTTGGTGGGCTTATAGTGTTGAGATCATTGGACTAGGCTTCACTGAAAGAAGCCCATTTCAAAAAGTGGCAGTGGTGTCATGGGGAAAAATGGAATCATAGTCAGTGACGAACCCAGCCGTCCAAGACCGCAGGAGCTAATTTAAACCATTAATATGTTCAGAGAGAAAAAATAATACACAATATATATATTTCAAGAGCTATAGCAAAATGTAAATTCTATATAAGTACATCCCTTGAAGACTCAAACCATTCTTACATCAAATTCGACACATCAACTTTTATTACCAATTGAGGCTTTTGAGGAATGCGAATGATCAAGAATTGACACTTGTAACCTGCGAGGTTTCATGTTTTGAAATCGCTACAAGATGACTTCATTTTCAATACTTATAAAGATCTCCTTCTCAACATAACACATCATGCAATCCGCTAAATACTCATCCCCCATCTTATTACGCAAATCATCTTTGATGAGTTTCATCGCAGAGAACGATCTTTCAACAGTAGCTGTTGGAAGTTAAAACAGGCAAAATTGAGGCTAACTCAGTCAATACACTAACTTATAGGGCTTGTGCCATCCCGTCTCAACCATCTTCTTTGCGAGATCTCCAATATCTTCAAGCCCAACGAAAGATGCATTTGATTTAACAAAAGTAATATAATGCATAACTTCATCTGAACTAAAATCATCCGAATACAGTTCGGCAAAACGGAGTAGCTAATTATGCTCAAAACTCATAAATGAGTTTTTAGGACTAAGGCAAGCTATGTACATAAGTAGATCTGAACTTGAATCTGTGAAACGATACTCCAACTCTTTAACAATGAGATTGATAATCTATCATTTACATATAAAAATTAATAATGCACAATACAAATAAATGTTTAAAAATTTCTTAAAATAGAATCAAGTAAAATTCATACCTTTAAGAAAATGTCTCGAAAATGGTGATAATAAGTCTTTGGTTGGCCATCAACCATCATTCGATTTCTAAACTGACCTGGCATAGCATCTTCCATGTTTGGCACATCAATCTTAAGTTGTGAACAAAATCCAGTGACATCTTTTAATAAAGAATCCCAACCATAGTCATCTTTCATTTTTCCAAATCATCTCTCACCGTTCTAATAAATAACATAGCATTGCCAATGTTTTGATTCTTATGTTGCAAGGCTTTGGAAACAACATTTGTTTTGCCTAATATTTTCAACATCAAATGAGAAATGGAAACACATTTAAAACATACCATTTTGTCCATCAAACTCGAAGTAGCTGACCTATAACTATGTTCAATGGCCTCTTTAAATATAGTTTCAAGAACATCTACTACTGCATCCCACATCTTCACAACTCGTGCAATGTCTTAATATGAGAATCCCAACGAGTATCACCTGCTTGACTTAAAGTTGTTTCTTGATTCTTACCTCGTCCTGTAGCAGTTTCACCATTTTCGATGAGTTTTACAAGATCTTCGTGATGTTTTTGAAGAAGGTTATCCTTTTTTTTATACAAGAAGCTCCAACAACATTCACTATCATAGCCAGATGATCAAAAAACTACTCACATCTCCATGGATCTTTGAAGTAGCCACAACCACTAATTGAAGCCGGTGAGCAAAACATTGGACACAGTGTGCTTGTTTATTTTTATCTAGAATTCTTCATTATAGTCCACTAATTGCACTGCGCATATTGAAAGCTCCATCATAACCTTGACCTCTAACCTTGGACAACGACAATCCATTTTTTGCAAAAAAAAAAAAAAAAACATTAAGAGCATCATTTAAAGATTGTGCACTTGTGTCGGTGACATGTACTAAACCGAGAAAACGCTCAACCACTTTGCCACCATTGTTAACAAATCTCAAAACAATAGACATTTGCTCATTTATTGAAATATCTCGAGTTTCATCAATCAAAAGTGCAAAACATTTGTTTCTAATCTCATTTGACAACAACCTTTCTAACCTATGATGCACAAACATTGATCATATCCTTTTGCATTTTTGGAGAAGTCATTTGATTATTCCCCAGAGCATTTGAGTCCATTACCTTTTTTACTTCTTCACAACGATCACCCAAACATTTCATGATTACCCGTAAATTACCTTGTTGCAATGACTCTTTTGAGTTATCATTTCCATGAAAAGGCAATGCTTGTTCCAAAAGGAGTTGAACCACATTTATCACTGCTGTCAAGCGAATCCTATAAGCAACTCGCATTTCATCACTTTGTTGCAATATTAAGCAATCCACATTACCACTTTGATTTTTAAAACCTAAATACAGAGTCTTAGCACCTCTGTGTGTATTTGTTAGGCCTCCCTCATGCTCACGAAATTTATCTAAAGCTTTTCTCCAATTGTAAATCCTGTCTCAGTAAAAACATCATCTCCTTTTTTATGATCTTTAGCAAACAAATAGCACACAAAACAAAATGCAGCATCTTTCTTTTCACTGTATTCTAGCCAATCAAATTCATCAAACCATGTTTTTTTAAAACTTTCTTCTACCTCCAGTAAAAGTTTCCTAGGGAACTTGTATCTCCGTCGTTGGCAAGGGCCTTTCAACATGTATCGTTTCCGCATCTCATCTCTAACACCAGTTGGAAACTATTAATTGGCCTACACAATCAAGGGTCACCAACAATGTCGTCCTCCGAAAATTCTACTTCTGGATTTTTTCTCACAAGGTTGATCACAAGTACTCACAACCACGTCATTTTCCCAACAACATTACCAGCTGAAGGTGATACAAAACTCTGTTTGGGAATTGGAGAATAAAATCTTTTCAATGTCATTTGTCAAATTCCCAAAAAAAAAAAATTAATTCAATAAAGTATAAGAAACACAATTGAACAATAAATTTGGTAAACTATGATATGAAACCAATACACAAATTGTAGAACAAAAATCGGCTCTCATTAACTACTGATCTATGTATATCATCAAAGAAAATGAAATTGCAGGCAAAAAGAATAAAAATTATACCATCAACCCTAAACTGATAATCTAGAGAATAAAATGAAATTGAAACCCAAAAAGAATAAAACTAGATTACCTCAAGCTGTTTAATGGGGAATGTTTATGGCAGATTTGCTTACTTCAAGAAGATTGGAATTTGTTGATCATCTTGATTAGAAAAAATGACAAGGATGGCTGGATGAGGGATGTGAAATTTTGGAGTGGAGTTCGAAGTTCGAAGGAATTTTCAAGAAGACAATGTGTAAGATACTAATTAAATATTATTCTTTATTAGTTAAATAAAAATGGGTCAACTATTTAATTTATATATTTTAACTTATATGGGTTTTTCTATTTTGTTATGGGGCAATGGGATATAAGTGGAATGGGAATTAAGCCCAAGGTACAAAAATAAAGTCCCTTTTAGTTAAAATAAATGCCCCAGCCCAAGTCCAATACTTAAACTCTTCTTATTCATTGCTATATTTCTCCACCATCTGCAGGGGCTGTCGTCAATGGACACAACCGTTAGAAGCTTAATCGGAGATACCTACTTGGGGGTTCTCCGGCCGGCAGCAGGTCGACGGACCCTGCGGGCCCTATGGTACGTCCATCTCTGATAATGGTCACAACTCACCAGTATCCTGTATTCCTAGCGTAACTGACCGTCTTTAGATTAGTTACTGTTTGTCAACTATAGACCCACCGAGACGTACTTTCTTGTTTCAAAATTATTATTCAGTTTGAAATTTCACTTTTAGTATATTTTAAACTAAAAATGAAAATTTAAATCGGACAATAATTTCATGACCGAGGGAGAATAAAAAAAAAAAAAATATCACTTTTCAGTTTTTGCAATGTAAAATGTAAACAATGACTTGTTATTACTATCAATTTTCCATAATGTTATAATGCCATGGCTGTGAAACCTTTTTTAAGACAACATTTTTTTTTTCAAAAAAAAAAAAGGTCTACCATTATAATTAGATGGGACTTGGATGGAGTAGTATTTCAAGGACAAACGTTAACTAACATACGCTGTTGTTAAACTATCGTTTTGTTTCCTTGTTATTTGCAGATATTAGATATACATACCGACTTTCTCATCCAACCATAATTCAGTTTCTGATTACCTGCAATAACAAAAACCACTTTTTGAGTAGTTTCACCAGCAATTCCTAATCAAGCCAAAAAAGTTCAATATCCATAGCTATCAGGCATAATTTAATACTCCACTAGCAGTATATGCCTAAAATCTTGAGTCCCATTATGACTCTAGACAAAATAATAACCCCCGTTACACCTATTTTTGGTGGAGTGCAGCCTCTACCAAGTGCAGTTAGTTTGATGAATTGCTTGACCAGAAAAAGGTTGGTTTGATGAAATGAATTTAGGGGAAGTTGAGATTTGGGAACCAGAAGAAGCAGCCACTGTCAAGCGTCAACTAGGAAAACCATAAAAATCAGCAATCAATTAAAGCATCAACTTGTCCATTACTACTATTTATGGCAATAAGTGTGGAGTAAAATAACATTGGATCGACAAGAAGCCAATATTTCATCTTTTCTGTTGGTGTCTGGTATTGCTAGTGGCCTGAGTGAAATTAGAAAGTTGCCATTTTGCAAGTTGCGGAGAAAGATAAAGATTAAGAGGGGATTCAGAGAGACAGTGATTGTGAAGATATGTATACACAGATTCTGCGTAAAAGAAATATCGGCCACTTTAGGCCATTAATTCCAGACACAACTGAACTTTCACTTCCCAAGACAAAATAAAAGTTTGTAGCAGCCGTCAAATGTATGATTCACAAAAAAATTTAAGTAATAATAAAAGAATGAATTTTTTTTTGTACTAATTCATAAAATCTTTTGCTAAATTTCTGTACACTCGGGTATCTGATTCTCAAGCCAGAACCGTTGGATCAAAGTCGTAAATGAAAAAACACTGAACTAATACTACCAAGTATGTACATCATGGCCCTCTTTCTCAGCAATTTTATGTACAGAAGAGGACTATTTGACTAATTTGACTAACCTAAAATTGGTAAAAGAAAAAGAAAAAGAAGAAGAAAGATGATCAGAGCCGCCCAAAAAAACTTCAGAACTCTGAATCGTTGAATCTGAATCCCAGTCAGAATGAAAATTGCATCACCTAACGTCGATCCAATCACCCGAGTTACTGAAGCAATCAGAATCAAGTTGTTGATCACTAACTAATCCCCGCAGCCTCTCTGCTGCAGAACTGAACCACGAGGATGACCCACCACACGATTTCAACTGATCTTGGCCCGGGAACCAAGACCCGTTCCCCGGAGTTGACGCCGGCGACGATAACGGAGTGATTGAAAATGTTGAGGACGACGATTGTTGGGATACCCAGTCCGGGAAATCGAACGCGCTCCTCGGAGAAGGCGACGGCCAACATCGTACGTTGTCGAATGTAACAGTGGCGTGAGAATGACGGTGATCGAATTCCGATGATGATGACACAAATGGGTGATTCAAAAGCATCTCAGCCGTCCATCTCAATTGTGGGTCTTTCACAAAACACTTCCTGAGGAAATCTTTTCCCTCCTCTGATAAATTTCCGGGAACTTCTGGGACTTGTTCTCCGACACCAATCCTCATCAACAACCCCGCCAAATCATTGGAAGAACCCCAGGCTGGAATTCCGGTAACCATCTCAGCTACCACACACCCAAGTGCCCAAATATCCGCCGGCGATGACTGATCACCTCCGGCGACCATCTCAGGGGACATATATAAAGGTGTACCCCTCAATTCACATCCCAATTTTTTCCCCTTTCCATTACTAACCTTTTTTGCTAAACCAAAATCGGCAATCTTAACTTCACCTTCTTGGGTTAACAGAATGTTTTGAAGCTTAATGTCACAATGAACATACCCACTCTTATGAATACAATTTAGCCCCCTTAAGATCCCCTTTGCGTATCGGCGAACTTCGCATTCTGGCAACCTCTGATCACACGAACTCTTCACTTTATTCGCCAAAGCGCCGCCAGAAGCGTATTCTAAAAACAAATTGTACAATTTCTCGCCATGTTCGAAGCTGTAACTATCACCATAGCACTGAATAATGTCAGGGCAATCCTTAAACTCATCAAGAATCGATTTCTCGTTGATCAGAGAAGCAGGATTTGAAGCAGAACAAGACTTAACAGCCATCGGACTATTGCCACCGCTCTGACTTGTGGGTTTCGCCAGACTAACAGAGGCAAAGCTCCCATGACCAAGAATTTCACCGCGAACCCACTCCATGTGGGGAGGAAGAATTGGGTTCAAATCTGATGCAATAAATCTTCGAGTTTTGATCTTCAATTGACTTTTGAGTTTGTTGTGGCCGGTATAGTATTTGGTGGGAGAAGAAAGAGAGAAACGTAAAGAAGAGATGGATGCAACAAAGTTTGTGAAACAGAGGACTTATATTTATAGTGAGAATTTTCCCTGTGAAGAATAGGAAAAGGAATTTGCGGTTGGTCGAATTCAGTGTTACATATACGGTGACGTAGGCAATAAGCTGCTGCTAGCTTCTCTTTTTTATTTTTTTTTAATTGAATTATTATTTTGGCCTTTGGAAAAAGAAGTGGGTGGTCGTTTAAAGGAGTAAAATGCACGTGATAGTCGAGGATATTTCTTCTTCTGATTGAAAAAAGATAAAAAAAATAAAAAATAAAAACAGAAAACAAAACAAAAAGGGTTAGCGCCCTGTTATTGAGAAACGTGGTTGATAATATGGGTGGTGGCCTTTGAGGAAATCATTAGGATCTTTCTCGTTCTGTAGGAAGAAGAAAAGCTCTCTACCCCACGTTAGTTGGATTGTGATGGTTTAGCGTTGTGATTTAAATGACTAATCTGCCATCAAACTGCCGTAATCATCCCCCCTAATTTTTATCCCTTTTATTATTAAGCATGAATCACGCTACCTTCTAGTTATTTTATTTCTCAATTTGGTGAAGATATCCATAGTTAGAACCTCTTCATTGCTAAAAAATCACTAACAGAATATGCATGTTTCGATAAATCGACTATTAATTTAAGTTGAAAAAATATAATAGTGTCTTAGACCCTCTTGGTAGACTCGGGTATGTCTGAATTATTTTTTTAGTGTGTGTTTTAGGTATTTTAACTATTGAGAATGTAGAAATGTGTATTAAAAATATAAAAAGGTATGTTCAAATTGATTAATTCTGCAAAAATGTACCGAAAAACAAACCAAACATAGTTAAAAAATTTTCATATTTTTTTGTTTTTTCAGGAGGGTTGTTTTTTGGTTGGAAAATGAATGTTAAAAGTTGTACGCAAACGAGAACTTTACTGTGTAGATATATGGATGGAGAAGAGCAAAGGATAAATTGATCATGTGAAACATTGGTATATTCCAAAAGGGAAGAAGGTGGCTAGAAGTTTTGTGTGATGGGCTAACCACAGTATTAATTGTGGGAGACATATAGCGAAGTTTGTATAAGCAGTGTCGTCACTGAGGTGTAGATAGATAGATTTAGCCTTTAGGGGAGATGTATGGTTGGCGGCTCAACTCAACTGACCTAAACAAGATGAAGAGACTTCAATTGAGTTTTACTACTTGATTTTGTCAACCCACCAGCCCTTCTTCTTCTGGCGACGTTGCTGACTTTCTGGTCCACTTACTACTACTACTATAATAGTACTAAAAAGAAACAATGGTTAAGGATTATTGGTCCTAATTGTCTTACGTTAGCTATTGATAAGAAACCATGTAATTGAGTGAATTGACCGTATATATATCCAGTTGGATCCATTTGATCTTTCTTCCCATTTTACCTTTCCGATATAAACTTTCCAAGGTTCCAAAGGACGAGACATGGTACAAGACTACAAGTGGATCCTAGTTTTCCTTTTCTTTTTCCTTTTTTTCTTTTGGTAGGATGTTTCTCAGTTACCTTCCCACTATGAATCTTCCCACTATGAATCCAAGTAGTTTTCTTGCATGCATGTCTTCCTTTCTAGTATGTTTTTACCGAAACTCTATCCATAATTTTGACATTTTTTTTTTCATATTACAGGATGTTTACCATTGACTAGTATATTTTGATTATTTTAATATTAAATATTAATACTGTTGGGTGTGAAAAGAGTAGAAGTTTATGCATGCACGAATTTTGGAGGTTATAAATTTTGACTTGACTTAGTTGTGAATTTTATGTTCATTGGAATGATTAGTCAAATGAATACAATTTCATGTTTCCACCTGCATTTTTATTTTACGTTATGGTCACCAAATTAATTAGTCACTGTTAACAAGTGTATCCATGAATCCAATTACATAAAAAAAAAAAAGAAAAGAAAAGAAATGATCTATTATCAGAAAACACTCATATAGTGAAAAACGAGACGCAAAAGATCATTTCCCATTCACCGTACAATAAAATTTAGTAGGGTTCATTATGATGCAAAATCATTATTTTTTCAAAAATAATGTAAAAACAATTAATTTAGTTATTTATTACTCTCTACGTTACAAAAAAATAGTCCACATTGAGTTTTGAGTTTTATATTATTTTTAATACAAATTTAAAAACTCAATGTGGATTATTTTTTTGGGACAGAAGTAATAATAAACTATCTACCATAGTCATGTTAGGATGCAGATTAATTTGATTAATTTAGAAAGTGTAATACCGTGGTTGGAACATGATGTAATTGGGATTGCATATCCTAGAATCGTCCAGACATAAGCTTTTGCCTCCACCTTTGTTAAAAAAAGAAAAAGAACAAGAAAGTGAACTCACTTTAAAAAGGGAATAAAATTGAAACTACTCTATAAATAAAATGTTAAAGGAAATCAAATGTATTATTATCATAGGAGGAACTTAAAAAAATATCATACTATCATATAGAGTAGAGGACAAATAAATGGGTTCACCAATTTTTATTAGTACTTGTTTTTCTAGCGAGAGTTGTTAACTACTTCTAACAAGTAACAAACACAAAAAAATATTCAATTTTCATGTGCGTATTTTAAGCTGCCGCGCAGCCTCATGTCAGTCTCTTTCTCCTCCTTAACCAACCGACGTCTTAACGTGAATGTTTTTCATCAAGTTAACAAATAGAACCGACACCTTATTTAATTTCATCACCTAATTTCCACTTGATTAATTAAATTTTAAACAAAACTCTCTCTCAGAAAAACAAAATACTCGTTTAATTGTTAAGCTGTCCATATCGTCTTTACTGTATGTTTCTTGTAGAAATAATATTGTCAACTGGCTAACAATTCAATATTTCGAAACGCGATAACACTGATTAATTTTAATTTTTAAAAACAGCCAGGAGATCTTGCCACCCTACCAAATTCTCACTCACAACTCAAACTCTCAGTGCTTCTTTGATTATATGATGCGATATTTAATACTCCCGCTACCCTTGTAGCTAGCTACTTTCGCATCCATTTTCGCTGTACAATTGGTAATTCTTTCCCAATGTCAAGTTGTCAACTGGGCATGTATAATAAATAGTCTTGCAAAAATCGTCCCTGAATTATTTAATTATACAAAACAATACTATATAATTCGCACTCATTTATGGTGCTCGAAAGTTGGAGTTGTACTCCATTCGACTGAAAACTATAGTCAGATTAGTTGAGCTGTTTTACTGCACGTAAATATTATTTTCTTGTTATTAATTACTTGTAGTTATAGGAAGTGTGCGGTGTTATAACTGAAATTGTGTTACGAGAAATGTAGAGCATAAAATCTGTGAAAGAGTACTACTTGGTGTACTTTCAAGGGACTACCATGTGCTTTAAATTAAGGGTAATGATTAGTGCAGGGAAAACATGACAAGGAATTGATTATAGCCATTTATTTTTAAAATTTTCCATTTGGGGTTTAAATATTTAATATTAGGGTATAGTTTTGATGAATAATACATCATTTTTTGTAAATTTTCTTTGTAATTTTTCCTTGTACCTATCACCACTCCTTAAATTAATTAATTCAGTACCAGATGGTAGTAGTAGATATTAGATAGGTGGACAATTGCATCTCTAATCTTATTCCCCGATATTGATTGTGAAAATTAGTTATGACTTCAATATTGATTGAAATTTAAAGTGATCGTCCGTATTGATGGTAATGACTGTATTGATTGAAATGCGAGGAAAAGCGATATGTGATGGGATCTTCATCGGCGAAGGAAAAAGAATATGTGCCAGACTGATCATGCCAGTGTATTTTAATTTTTTATTTATATAAAAAAATTAAGATAAAAACCAAATCTAGGCTTGATTTACTCCTCCGACAAGTTACAAAAGGGGGAAAAGGACTTCCCTATTCGTGGATGACGGGCTATAAATGTAGTGAGTATAATATTTTGTTGATCATTTTCCTTCTCACTGGAGTAAGGACTAAGAAGTTCTGAACATGAACTGTGTTGCAAGAAATATAAAGAAAAAATAACAAGCATTCGTTAGATCTCTTGATTGGAAAATGGTTTAATGAAATGGCATCATGAATAATGTTAAATGTACACAAATATACAAACTTCTTAATTAATTAATTTTCGTACTCGTTCCGTTCCAAAATGAGAGTTCAGTTTATGGTTATTTTAGTTATAGGGAGAATACATATAAATTGTAATAACGGGTGTAATTTAGAGTTAGATATTGCATTTACTTACATTAAACTTGTACTACTGGAATGCAGATTTAGTTGAGCTTAAGTTAGAAGATCACAAAATCCAAAGCACGGATCATGTGTGAGGATTAAGAGATGAGGACCCCACCACATGAAAATCACTAGCTTAACACATTTCGTGAAGGCTAAACCACTCAATACAATCACATAATCCACAATCAATCAAGAGCTGTGATCATCGATTTCATTTACTTAACGGGATTTGTCAACTCTAATCAATGACTTACACATAGATCTAATCAATTAGAGTTAAATTTGTTTAATCACCACCTTTCAGTCTATAGCTACGAAAAAACATGAAGTTGAAAAAAAAAAAAAGAATGAAGCATTGGGGTCGGTGGACGGTGATGTCGATGGAATAACAAAGATATCATGGGCACAAAAGGCAATGGAAATGGAAATACTAGTACTACAGTACTACAAATATTTAGGAGGATAATTTCTTGGGTTTCAATATTCCCAAGAATCATCAACTTGGCTATTTTTTTCCTTTTCTATTTCTTCTTCTATTTTTTTTTTTAAATAATAAACAAATAGTTTAAGTAAATAATACTACAATTAATAAGATATATCTTCCCGCGTAAT